ATAAGTAATTTTCTATACTGCAGTCGTAATAAAACTATAAAAACAAAGTAAATATAACAATTATAAGAAATATCAATGTTTTTCATATATTTCTATATTGAAAGAGTTGTGAACCGAGATACCTTTTATTTATTTAAACGTACAAATAGGGCTTTAAGCTCCCTTACATGTACATAGATACATGCTCAAAAATAAATTTAGTTTTACAAAACATAGTCAAATAATAATAATAGGGGTGTCGACGGCCGCAACGGTAGGCACCCCGGGGGTTGATATAAGCTCTGCGTTACAAACCCCCGTAAAAAATATATTCTTTAAAATATTTATTTATTTATCGGGCAGCCACACCCTTTTTTATATGTATAGAATGTAGAAAAGCAACAGTTTACAAAGTAAACCAAAATTTACAATTAAATTATAAAACAGCAAATATACAAAGAATAGAAAAGTACATTTATAGAATTTATAAGAAATAATAATTTAAGTAATGACATAATAATTTAAAATTAAAATATGCTAATATGTAAAATTAACAGACAAATTGTTTTGATTAATTTGGATTTGGGTTTATATAGACTCAAATCAGCACATGTATGTACCAATATACAAAAATGTGCCGAGTTGAGCCTATTTGCTTCTTGTAGCCCACCAACAATTTCAGCTTTTGCTATTTACAGTAAATTGCTGGCAGACTCGAGAACCACCCACCAAAATTTGTTTTAATCATGACTTACACTGATTTAATGATTTATATAAGCTCAAATCTATAGATATGTACAGAATTATACCTAACACTTCAAGCTTTTGCAATTTACAGTGAATTGCCAGCAGACTCAAGAACCACCCTCCCTGGGTATTGGCAGTCTGAGGGCAGACTTCAATCTTATCCGTCTAGCCACAGGGGTTGTGCTTTGGGGGATGATGTCAACAGCTAGGTCAATCAGCACACAACGATGCAGTTCCAAACTCGTTCGTCCTCACGTTAATTCTTAAATACGTGTGGTGATTAGTGACCGTTAATCGATAACTATTCATAAATCGTGCACTCTCAACACGACACGCAAGAATGGCACAAGTACCCAGAAGACAAACACTTTGAGCCCTGAAGATGATCTCAATAAAGATCGAAACGTTGGCACGATAAAGAAAATGTTTTTCTGAAACCTACATCACACCAGACCGCATCTCATGATTTCTGAATAATTATTCTTAAATACATTCACTCCTATTTACATACTGTTTATTCAATTAGGGTGATGGAGTGCTCGATATCCCTCCATCACCCTTTACACAAATTATACAACTAACCCTAAATGAGGTTGATGGGGTACTTCCCCCTATGTTCAATCAACACATTCACGCTAATAAATACATTCACTCCCAACACAAACTAGGTATACACAACTATTATTACTATATACAATAGAACAACCTAATTTCCTCTATGAATCATATCAGGAGATCCAAATACTCGCTACCATGCTCAAGAATGATTCTAAAATTGGGTGGCATTCCTGCACACTCTCTGCATGGAGACAAGGCATTGCTGCATTTCTTTCAATTTGGTAGCACACATCAAGATATTGTTTCTTTGCATGCTGGACACACATGCAGGCTTTGGCCCAAAAGTGTCAACCTCGTATGGCCTATTCTATTCTTAATGGGTGAGGATAACTAATTTGAGGATAAACTTTTGATTAAAGTAACTATTATAATAACAATAAAAAAATAAATCAATATCACATTAATACAATAAAATACTTGAATATAACTAGGAATATATAATATACATATAATGAATGGAATATAAGAGAACATAGGTAGTGAAGATAGTGACTAGAGGATGGGTTTTAAAGAATTTCTGAAATGGGTGAGAGAGTTGTTAAAAAGTTGATATCATTATTATCAGTTTTATTTCCAAGTCTATGGAGTCTATTGACAGGTGGTAGTTCAAGTAATGGAGAAGTGTGAGCAGGATGGTGGCTAGTGGGGATGTGAAAATTTATTAGTCAAAGTAATTCAAGGGAGAATATCTTGTTGTTTAGAAGTTTATATAAAAAAAGAGATTCAAGTGAAATTAAATTTAGTTGCTGCTGCAGGTTGTCAATTGGAATATCATAATAGGATAACCACTTAAGAAGTTTGTGCTGAATTTGTTATAATAATTTAATATAGGTATTGTAGTCTGGGTATTAAGGAGCTGTATTCTAATAGGAAATAGACAAAGAATGTATTGGAGGGTAGAAATGGAGAGATTAAAATCCTTGGAGCAATGACATTAAATATTTATAATTGAATGATGAAACCACAATCAGAAAGGAAAAAGAGAAAGAAGATAAAAAAAGAAATGGGGAAAAGAAAAGTAATAGGGGAAAAGGAGATGATTCATGTCATTTTTAAAAACTCAGATGATATGAATAAGTCAGCAAGTAAGCAAAACGTATTTCCCAGGAAAGCAAATTTATAGTTTTGTCCCTGCAATTCTGAACTAAATATTAGAGAGTGTTTGAAGACTTCGAATATGATTGGTACATTTGGATAAGGAATGTGGGGAAAAAGTTGTAGATATTGAGAACATTTATTTAATTTAATTTATATTAAAACTTTAAGTTATTAATGTTGAAGATATTAAGATTGCTGCTATCTAATGCAGGAATGTTAAGCAATTTGAAGGCGATGAGCAGATTGATAGTCTATGGAAGTGAAAAATTTGAAAAAAAGGGATACTCCTATCCTTATTTCTCATTTGCATTTAAAACAATGTTAAATAAATAAATGCAGTTAAGGTCATAAAACAAAAGTAATTAAGGCAACCGTTTTTGCAGTTCCAACTTTAGCACACCTTCCCAGTTGTGGTTCTGGCCCTATGGGTGAAAGGAGGGTGCCCCTTTTATAGTTCATCAGCCTGTTAGTTATCATCTTTACCTTCATGACACAGAAGGTTGAAAGGATATGAATTTAATGCCTTTATAGATGCCTGACTGTCTGAAATGTATAAATCTGAGCTCCTTTCATATTTTTCTTTATTAACTCTTGTGCACAATGTTGGATTGCAAGGATTGTTCAGACTAGTCTGAGTGATTTTGCTAGGGTGTAATCAGGGCTCTTTTCTCCCTATGCTTAAAACTTGAATTTTCTTTTAATACATTTGTCTATTGACAATGTATTAAACATTGTACCTACATTAAACATGTAGGTCTTTATATAGCTGGTTGTTTCTAATGAACCATGATGACAGCCATTTCATAAATTCATTAAGGTTGCTCCAGGCATGTGGGGTTCGCCAAATGCTGAGTAAATGTTCACTGAAACTCTGATGAGTGGGGACGGATGCTTGATTATTTACCAAGCAATATTCAGCTATATTCAGTGCTCGCCATGCTCAGCTAATTGTTGGTTTTCTTGTCCGCTTCAAAGTGCACGAATATTCATGAAGTAGCTGAACTCAAAGCAATAAGTAACAATAAACTATTCTTAACGAGTATAGATGTATTAATAATAAATAAGAACATAGCGTTATTTCTCTTGGTCAAACTTAACAGTCTTGGAGTTCCTCAATCTGAACCAAAAATTTGGACTGCTTCTCTTTCAAATCACAAAAATCAAAACAAGGTTTTCGATGCATGGAAACAGATTGAAAGTATATACTTATATTTACTACTATTTATTTTTTAGTAATAAACTCCTAATAAGTATAGATGTATTAATAATAAATAACAACATAACATTATTTCTATTGGCCCAACTTTACATTCTCAGAGTTCCTCAATCTGAACCAAAAATTTGGACCGCTTCTCTTTCAAATCACAAAAATCAGAACAAGGTTTTCGATGCATGGAAACAGATCAAAAGTATATACTTCTATTTACTGCTATTTATTTTTCAATAATAAACTATTCCTAAACTAGTATAGTTGAATTAATGAAAGAACAACATAGCGTTGTTTCTTTTGGTTAAGAATGGATTGGCCCAACATAGTCTAGTTCCTTGATCAACCAGTAATTTGGAACTCTTCTTTACCAAATCACATCAATCGGAAAGAGTTTTTCCACGCATCAAAAGTAAGATGGGGCAACAGTACTGTGACTGATTTTGCAGCCACTACATAAAACAGTAACCGCAGCTTCATTGTTGTCCATCACAATTGGTAACAAGTTGAGGACTCGCACAGCATTTGGCGAATATTCGCTGTTTCCGCACAAACAGGTTAGTTGTACAAACACTGCATGTGTATATAAGTAAGCACGCTATTTAGCGAATGCCACAAGCAAATATATATGTGAGCATGCTCCTAAAATATGATTTTATGTATTAAAATTCTTGTATATTGTATATGGTTGCAAACAATTGTTTTAGAGACGATGACCATTAGTTTTTCCATCCTTAATGAACACTAAATGTGTTCTAAGCGAATAAACAAATTGTTGTATGAGTATAATGTATAGGTACAAAATATCTGTAAAAAATAATTGAATACTAATGTTTTTTTTAAAACAAAATAAGTCAATATATAAAATCGTACGTCTAAAATGTGCTTTGTACATTTGTTTGGATAATTTAACGCTTGTGCAATTAGATGGGGTAATGGAGTTTAGTTTAAAGTAAAGTTTGAGCTTGAGGGGGAAAAGGGCGGATATTCAGTTCAAACGTAGGCGCTCCCTAAATCGTACGAATGGAGATTTACAGTTAGTCAGAGGAAATTAAATCTTACAGAATCTTAAGTGTTGGAAGAAATGAGAAATGAAATGGTAAATACGTTAAATCCTCAGTACAAAGGCCCAAAGGAAATCGCCGGTCGAGTTTACCGTCGGTATACCTATGGGAGTTCACAGCAGTACCGAAAGTTGAAACTACAAATCTATAATCTTTTTACATTTTTAAAGCCGAATTAATTCAGTTTCGATCGGATTTCGCCTAATAAAAAATGAATAAATAAAAATTTCCGACTTTCAACTGATGGGACCGATTAAAAAAAAAAGAAAAAAAATCAGTTGGGGGAATTAATTAATTATCGGGAGGTTTGAGTTTTGGCTTGGAAAGGATATGGGATGGATGGGGGCTTCGGTGATTTTATTTTTTTTTGTTAATCTGTGAATGAAGTCGGTACGTTTTGAATAGTTTTTCAAGCCCCCTGAACGGCGTTTGTATCCGCGTATGAACGCCGGCTTTTCCCGGCCAGAAAATCGACCCTCAGTCCTGTTTTGTATATCTGGAAAAGTGCCTCTCTCACTGTACACGAAGATACTTTTCTTTCTTTTTCTTCATATTTACAATTCATAAAACAGACTCCGAGCTTTATATGGTATTTGTTTTCCCCCATTTGATCTGTCGTTTTAAAGTGATTTTTGTTTTGTTTTTAAATTCAATTTAACGGGAACGCAATGGACGGCTTGTAATTATGCCAGAAATGCATCGTGAACGGAGGGATTCCCGCTCTTCTCTCAAAGAAAAACCAAACGTAAGTACTTTTTACAACTTGGTATCAGATTTATTTTCACAATCAACGTCCAACCCAACTTGGTCAAAAACTTACACTTTAGTACCTTTCCCTCTGTTTAACTGTGAATTCTTTAATCTTGATGATTTTGCTCTCTAGGTTAATTATAGATCCCATTACTCACTTTGATTTGTCTAATTTAACTATTATAGTTATTACTTAATACATAAACATTAACTATTTTAAACTTTGAAAGGAAAATGGACTTGATCCTTATCTGTAGTCAACAGGTGAGTACAAACTTCTAAAGACTAGCTCGGAACTACAAAACAATAATGCGAGTCATAAAAAAATGCCCGTTTTTCTTGCTAATTTAAAAATAATTTTATTTTGAGACAATTTTTTTTAATATTCAAAGTATATGTTAAGTACAAAAAATACAGCAATCTACAGAATCCTGGATGGCTTTATAAGCAAGAGTCAAATTTCATTGTAACGCTTCCTGTATTTCTGTTTCCAATTTTTCTTTTTCTTTTGGACGCCTTGTTCCTTTGAGGCAATTCCATCGGCTGGGAGGCTCACAAGGGCTCTCTGAGCGGGTTGGCCCCGGACTCCGGGAGAGTGTTCTTTTCCATAAATTGTTTGTAAATGGTTTTCAACCACATTTTCCAAGAGTATGTCAATATGTTATTTATGTGAGGAAAGGAATGGTTGAGCCTTTGGTTGGCTGTGGCAGCAGATCCCTCAGCGGTGTGTGCATTGGAGGCCGTCCCGGCCTAAGTTAGTCTCTGACTTGGTCATTAAAAAAAAGTTGCCATTTCTAGGCCAGGTGTTGGATTTGTTCACAAAATCTTTCTTTCGATTTGGACAGAACAATTCTGAAACTCCATTTTGAACCTCATCCAGAAAATTAAATACATTCCGTTGAAGAATGGCCAGCAGCGATTTGCTTACAATTGGAATAAACAGGTGTTGAAATAAGACATTTGTGGCATGGGCAATTGAAGTCATGGTAGTTCAAGTGGTAGAGCAGCGATATCGGCATTTCACCTCCTTAGTGGTTTTTTTATTAGCCACTGAAAATGGTTTTGGGTAGTATTTTCATGAACTTATTTGAACAATGTTGACAATTCTAACATGGTATTAACCAAACAATAAATATAAACTCTACTTTCTCAAGACAAAATTACATCAACAGTGGTAATTTGGCTTTAATTATTGGTGCAATTCAGCAATCATGTGTTTGCTGTGATCACCGTATCAGTCATAAGTGGTACTCATTGCGGAATGAATTTCAGTTAGCTAACTAGTTTGTGCATTATGAGTATTTTATAATTTTTAAACTATTCACAGGCTTCATTGGTAAAGTTTGCGGTTCAGTTCCTTCAACTTATGTTTACTCAAATTTGTTGTTAAAATTTGGTAAAGGAATTGACTTAGTACACTTGTGGTATCCCTATTTTAATATCATAACTTATAGGGTTGGTGTTATCTCAGTCTTTAGGTATGGTTGACTATATTTATAAGCTTCATTTAAATAAGCTATCATATAAATTCAAAAATATTTGTCAGCTTATTTTGCTTATACATTAATAATTTCCTTTCGTTGCTTTGTGTTACAGACTGCCAAAAGACTGTGACATTTGTATTCTAAGATCTCATATTGTAAGTATGCTATTTTACTGCTTTAATTTCAGCAATCCATGAATAAAATGTCTCTTATAAAATAAATTAATAATGTATTGACGTTACATTTCCTATATTTATTTATTAATATATTTATTTTTAATTTGGCTAATATTAGTGATTATTCGTATTATTGGTGCAGGAAAATAAATATGAAGTATCATTTTTTTTTACTAATTACTTTAGTCTATATGTAGTTTAGACAGATTTCTAAAGTTGTAAAATTGTAACTTAAATGATCTTACCTCAATATAAATACTTCCAATTTTCCAAAGGAGTGGGGTTTTTGTAGTACCATGTGTTAGTTTAGAAAACAATGTACAATAGTAGTTATAAGAGGTTTTTCTATAGATCAAGTTAGATGTTGTAAGTTTGAATTTATTGAAGTTATATTGTTGCAGATTACAAGTGGTAAAACACAATGGAATTAAGGCTTCATAGCCCTGTTGGAGCAGGTGCGATCGTGCTTCATTGGCCTTTGCCATCATCTCTCAATCCGGATAATGATGACGATGCTGAAGAAGTGTTTGAAACCATCCGATTTGTTTGTGAAGATTTTCCACAACTCAGATTAGCTTTAAGTGAAGAAATCCTCAATAAGTACAACCCGACCAGTTATGATAGTGTCAAAAGTTTGTGCGAATATTTTAATGGAGTGATAGCTGAAATGCATTTATCAAATTCTACTCCTCCACTTGAGGTAATAAGAAAAAACCTTTCAAGGGATCTTCTTGAACACATCCTTGTTCAGGTTTATAATCAGACTGTGAAAGAACCAGATAAACTGAATCAGTATGAACCTTTTTCTCCAGAAGTGTATGGAGAAACGTCATTTGAACTCATCTGTCAGATGATCGATCACATGAGCATATCAGAAGAAGATATCTTTATAGATTTAGGTTCTGGAGTCGGCCAAGTAGTGTTGCAAATGGCAGCTCTGACGTCCTGTAAATTGTGTCTTGGAATTGAAAAAGCTGACGTACCTTCACAATATGCAGAGAACATGAGCAAGAACTTCCGTAAATGGATGGCCTGGTTTGGAAAGACTTATGGAGATTATAAGATAATAAAAGGAGATTTTCTTGATGATAAATTCCGCGAAAAAATAACTTCATCTTCTTTGATATTTGTAAATAATTTTGCTTTTGGACCTTCCGTTGATCATAATCTTAAACAAATATTTGCCGATTTGAAAGATGGGGCTAGAATTGTTTCATCAAAAGCATTTTGCCCTTTAAATTTTCGGATCACAGATAGAAATCTTACGGACATTGGTACAATAATGCATGTCTCAGAAATGCAACCAATGTGTGAATCGGTTTCATGGACAGGCAAGCCTGTCTCTTATTACCTGCATGTCATCGATAGGACAAAATTGGAGAGATATTTTCAAAGATTGAAACAGCCGCCGCAGCCAAAGAAACAGGGCAGAACTAGCAATTGTAACAGTAACAGTAACAGCCGTGAAGGAAGTGTCGAGAGTAACGGCAGAAGGAGTGCAAATAGAAACAACAGTAAACCACCAAAGAAACCTGTCTCCAATAAATGGAGTTCTGATGAAGGGAGCTCAGATAACGAGGCACCACGGGTCACAACGAGGAGAGCATGGACAGAATATTGCAAATTATTATCTCAAAACAATCAAAATAATTCATTCACAGGGAAAAATGAAAAAAATGGTGTAGTCAAGAAGGAAAGGGATATAAAATATCCTAAACGAAAATGCTCACAAAAAGTACCCTCACCCTCTCCTATTCGTCAACAACCAACTCGCACTTCTAACACTCGTTGTTCAAGATCAACTAAAAGAAAAAACATGACAAATGGTATTACAAATAAATGTCAAAAAACTTCAAACAATAGAAATCCATCAGCTGGTTTTGCCTCTTGGAACATTACTTCGAATCCTAGTACTTCTGACTCAATTTTCCTTGTTGATGACGAAGATAATGATAGAAGACCTGTACCCGAAACACTCAGGCGTTTACTACGCACTTATAAGACACAATTTCTAGACATGATGGAAACCATGAAGACTCAAAACTATATTAAAAAACTGAATGAAGAAATATTAAAGGAACAAGAAGGGAATTTAAGTTTAAAGTACAAAATTGAGTTTCTACAAAGTCACATTAAAAAACTGCAATTAGAAGGTACTGAGCTTCTTAAAAAGAGAATGTCTGAATTAGGAGTAGAAAACTATTTGCCAGCAACCTTCCTCGAACAAGCTAAAGATGTTGTACTAAAACACAAAAATCTTCAAATTCAGGTTACCAAGCTTGAACAGACTATTCAAAGCTTGGAAGAAGAGAGAGAAGAGTTGTACAGGCGGCGTTATAAAGAAATCGTCACCAAGGGAATTGAGGAGGGACTTTCAACTCCAATGGATGTAATAGATCAAACTTTCCAGAAAACTTTTAATGTATTTCCACAGCGGTGAAAAACTCGGATCAGTACATTTCAGCCTTACAGTAAAAAGTTACCCATGCTTTGTTAGGTGCCTTCAATAATATTATTTATTGCTGTGCTGTGTAAATAGTTTTCCATATTATTTTTAGTTACTGAATTTTTTACAGCAGAAAACGTTTTTATTCAAAATAAAAATTGACTGATCATGTCTAGTCCTTTTTAAGGGTTGGAAAACGTCTTAGGTCTAGATTTATTTTTCTTTCATAGTGACACCTAACAAAAAATAATAACTTTATAATAATAATTATAAATAAAACAATAAAAGACATTTTATTGGATTATTTTGCTGGGATATGTTGCTGCATTGAAACAATGGCTGTGAAACTTATACCATTTATAAGTAAAAAATAATGAAACTTTACACTTTTCTCTTTGAAACAATACAAAAACATATCCCATAAAATAATTTTGATAACCTTTTAAATAATTGATTAATAAATTTTCTTTCCATGGATTGTTTTGATTGCACATTCCTTGATTTCTTATAGATTCATTGTTCTGGTGCAAGTTATAAAGTTGTGTTGTAAAAGCACAAAATATACTATTGTTTATATACTCCAGACTAATGGAGTTTCTAAATAGGTAATTTACAAATTACATATTCTTGGTAAAGAATAAACATTTTTATAATAAAATTGAATTCACACATCAATATAAAACATGTATTCCTTTAAATACCTTATTTCTACATTTGTTTAAACTATTTTTTTCCTTTGCCTATCTATTTCAGTATTGGCCACAGTTATTAAACTGTATTTTAAATAAGGAAATTGTAAGCAGCTTGAATGTACATTTTAAATGAAAAAAAAAAAAAATGGTTGTTATCAAGTTATCAGAGATGACCATCATTACGGACTATGTTAATATAAAAATTTTTAATTTCTATTTTATGTAGGGTAGTCTCTGTCAAACAGTTAGCCAACAAATATAGTTCCAATACTTTATTAAAGTTGCCAAATTTCAGCTTTTTCTACCAATAAACATATCATTTATAGTATTTTATATAGATGCTGCTACAAAAACATCAAAGGTGCGATAAAAATAATCAAGACAAATTTTTTTTTTTTAACCATTTTCAAATTTTCTCAAATAGACAAACAAGTCAAGCATATAATTCTACATTTTTCAGACTTATGCCAATCTGTCAAAAAGAAAATCAAATATGTTAACTTCATTTTAAACATACCATAATTTCAGTTTTCCAAGTTTCAATTGGAAAATGGTTAGAAGCAGAGAAGAAAGATATAATTTTAAAAATTCCATTTCTATTTTGGTCCCATTAATTTTAACCCTTATCCTGACATGTGGCTCTGGAGATACAAGTACAAATACACATATTAAGTATGAAAAAAACATTTTTTCCTTGTTCCTGGTGATCTCACGAATTGATTCATAATTTCATAATTCATTATCAATTGATCTTTTAGCCTATATGTAACTTTTTTAAATAATTTTTTGTATCATTGCTATGAAGCAGGAAAGATGCTAGATTGTACATTTTTATATTTTTTTAAATGTATAAATGATGTTTAACAAATAATTTTTGTTGCTTGCAAATAGTCCTTAAACAAATATATGAGAGATATTTTATAATTATTTTTTTTTTATTTTTTAATGGATTCATAATGTGCTGGATATAGGTTTTACTGGTGTATCTCCTGAGATACATTATCAAACCCAGGAATGATTTTGTAGCTCTAATGCTGAAGAGGAAGAGGTGGATGAACTCATTTGTCTTCATCTCAGAGGTGAAGAAATTTTGGAAGAATTGAGAATTTTTTGACGTCAAATAGATTTTTCCTGTGGATGATAATTAGCCAAAACCCTCAACATACAACACCCCTCCATCAATTTTTGTTTTTAGATTTTAACTAACTTTTCAATTATTTTATCAGCTTATTCTTAATTATATAATTACTTAATTAATTATACACAATTTTTTTTAAATGAAAAATTTGTGTAACGTGCGATTTGAACCCGCGACTTTCGGCTAAATACGCCGCATTTGTGGCATGGGCGATCAAAGTCATGGTAGCTCAAGTGGTACAGTAGTGGCGCATTTAGCTGAAAGTCATGGGTTCGAATCTCGCCTGTGACACAAATTTTTCATTTAAAAAAAAATTATGTAATTAGTAATTTAGATTTTCACTTACTACTTATTTTTATATTACTTGTGTATAAATGTTATCACTTGTATCTTTAGTGAATAGCATGATCTTATTTTAAAATTGGCTTTGAGGCATGCAGCAGGAACAGATCGCTGATCCAATTATTTGTAATATAAATCTTTGTATCTTCTCTGTGTGATATGTATTACACATTGGAATGAATGTATTTATTTGTGTGAATGGAGGGGCTTATCCCCAATTACATAAAGGAATATAGAGTACTCTGGGGTAGTGTAAAGGCTAACAAGACAATTATATTTTTATCTTGTGTCTGTGTATTTGTGTTACTTTATCCACAATTGATGAGGCCCTGAGGGCTAGCAAAACGATAAAGAAAAGAAAGAGTCGGTTACCGTTATTCATACACCATAACTTGGCTAGAGAAACAAGAAAAGCATTTAATAGGAAGACATGAAAAAAACAGCTAAGAAAGAGAGGGGCAATGCAGTTTGCTGGCCCTAAAAATTAAAAAATTGGCTCTTATTAGGTAAAAAAGTATGAATTTTTTACATTGAAATCTTTGCATCATAGGACAGCAATATATTCTCAGGGGTAAAAATTTAAAATTGAATCCAATCAAAAAGGGAACTTTCAGAAATTAAAAAAAAAAATTACTGCGTACAAACAGGTAAAAATATGTCTATAAAATATTTAACTTTTTTTCTTTGCTAAGTTAATGGTTAAGGAAAAATCCACAAAAAATGTACAAATTGCAAACTTTATTTGGGTTATAACTAATGATGGACTGAGTTAATATGCTCGAATTATTATTATTGTTTGTTTTAATAGAAGGGATAGACAATTGAAAATTACTAGCCATTATGAAATGATCAGAAAATATATAGAAATAAGCAGGCAGTTTAAGCAATCCTCCCTGATAACAAACAAAGTGGAAAGGGATAGTAACCAGGAAGAATAATGAGCCATCAATAAACTAACAAATTGAGGATTTTTGACATATAATCTCACTGTCAATTGTAAATTGAGATAATCGTGTTCAATTTAAAATTGATAATAATAAAAATTACTACACTTTGATCTTAGCCAAAAGGCCGAGAAGCGTAGGAAGATATCTTTTACTAAAGATAATTTTGGGATTAGATACTGCATTAGAAAGTATAAACTATGGTTTTGGCAAGTAGCTATGGATTTTCAGTATTTTCCTACAAAACTGTTACTAGTTTCCAATATTCTAAATAGACTCAAATGAAAGAAACATTAAATTTATAGTATTGTGTTTATTTATTTTTTTTTTTCGACCAGGTAACGCATTAATAGTTCTTACAGTCCATGATACAACGGGTTAACGTTAAGCCCTTCTGTAGGATAGAAATTACTTTACTTTATTTCAGTAGTTTTTAGACTTTTACTACTACTCGAAATGAACTATAAAATTGATTTACTTGATTTATTCTATTTAATTTTTGACTAAACAATCAGTCAACTACGAGTTTGTAAGAACACTACTGTGTCCTCGAAATGAAAGGTCAAAAACTAACTTCATTGATTTCGTTTGTTAATTTTATTTCTAACACAGGGAATTTATTTTGAGACGGGTGAAACTAATTTAGTAGATTTATGTGATTTTTACAAAACATCTAATCCAATGTCTGTAACAGCCCAACAGATATTTGAAAACAAAGAAAAACACCGTTCTTCTAAAGTACTCAATTATGTAGTGTGCAAGAACCTTACTAGTCTTTGAGATAACGAAAAACTCGCATCTTTAATCTTTTTTCTATTCAACAATTAATAGTATGAAAGAGAGAGGGAGAGAAATTAACGAACTTAGATAGCTAAATTTGTTATACCAAACTACTAATTTAGTAGTTCGAGCGAACTTATTCTTCGAAATCAACGAAAAATGTACTTATCTCGATTTCTTTGAATTTTTTTTCGATTAAACTAGTCAATTACTAGTTTGAAAAATTCTTAATTGTCTTCGAAACGAACGAAAAACACGTAAATCGGTTTTTTGGGCTAAACTACTAAATTAGTATTTCTTATTCTTCAAAATAAACGAAAATTCCTTTAACTTGATTTTTTGGAGTTTTTACAACCAACTATATACAAAATTGTTCTATGCGAAGCCCTGAATTAATAAACATTGAAATGAACGAAAATTGAAATTTACTCGAAGTCTTTAATTTCTTTGTTAGTTTTCCAAATGAACGAAAATCGAAATTTACTCGATTTCTTTAATTTCTTTGTTAATTTTCCAAATGAACGATAATCGAAATTTGCTCGATTTTTTAAATTTCTTTGTTAAGTTTCCAAATGAACGAAAATCGAAATTTACTCGATTTCTTTAGTGTCTGCGTTAGTTTTCCAAATGAACGAAATTTACTGTATTCTTTATTTTCTTGGTTAGTTTTCCAAACGAATGAAAATACGAAATTTACACGATTTCTTTAATTTCTTTGTGTTTTACAAATGAACGAAAATTAAATTTACTCGATATCTTTAATTTCTTTGTTAGTTTTCCAAATGAACGAAAATTAAAATTACTCGATTTTTTAGTTTCTTTCTTAGTTTTCCAAATGAACGAAAATCGAAATTTACTCGATTTCTTTGTCAGTTTTCCAAATGAAAGAAAATTGAAATTTACTCGATTTCTTTAATTTCTTTGTTAATTTTCCAAATGAAGGAAAATTGAAATTTACTCGATTTCCTTTAATTTCTTTGTTTTTCCAAATGAATAAAAATTGAAATTTACTCAATTTCCTTTCATTTCTTTGTTAATTTTTCAAATGAACGAAAATTGAAATTTACTCGATTTCCGTTAATTTCTTCATTAGTCTTGCAATTGAACGAAAGTCTTAACTCTATTTGTTTGAATGATTTTGCCTTAGCTACTATTCAATTGCTAGTTTATAAGGACCTAACTAGTATATGTTAGAGAACAAAACCAAAGAGAGAGAGAGAGAGAGAGAGAGAGAGAAAGAGAGAGAGAGAGAGAACTTAGTGCATTTATACACAAATAAATTTATATGGAAATATATGTGAGAATGCTAATATATATATTTTTTCCACTATTGTAATGTTGTACATTGAAAATCAATAAGTAATAAAGCCATTTGAAAGAAAATAAATCACAAAATTCCTTCAACAACGAACGGATTTCTCTTTTCGGCATTAAAGTGGTCTCATCTTTCATTTTCGATATAAAATTTTATAGTTATGTTTAATATTTGTGTTCACTTTATTCTCGACATTGTACACCAAATTACAATGAAACATACTTATTTCTATTTTTTTCTGTATAAAAAGTTTGAATTGAGCTTTTTTTTCAAAGAAATTTCACTGCTTACACGTTTATTTAGATTTGAACTTTTATTGATGTTAAATGAAAAAAAAAAAGGTTTGTGCTTTTGGTTTTCATTCTCACGATAGAAAAGACAAAAGTTTATTCTTTGTTTGGAGGGAATATTTGTATAATCAATTTTATTTGTAGATCATTGATGCACTAGTGTTTAGCATGTAAAAATAGATGGAAATTTTTAAATATATTTTTATTCCCAATGCTTCAATAAATCCAAAAAGTAAATTTCAAAACAAACCCAATTTATAGTGTGCAAATCTTTTTTTTTTTTTTTAACCTTTTTTATATAAATTTTATAGACACTTGTTTGAAAATTCTTTTCTGTTTATTCGATTGTGAAAAACCATGTGGGGTAAATTGTTGACGTTAAGATAGAAAAATAGAATCAGACCAAAAAGCCGCCCTTTCCATTTTTTGAATTGGCACAGAAAAGGAGTAGGGGTCTGTGGGAGTGGCTATCGTTTTCCACTTTGAACGTTTGGCTTGTTTGCTTTCGCCTCTCCTCGTCTCCAGCACCTTTCATACGTGACTGCGACCATTTTCCTCAAGTCTTCTTAAGCGTCCTGCCACACTTCCATAAGCTATGGTAATATGAATTCGATTATAACATTTGTTTTGGTTTTACGTAATTTATTTAAGGATTCTGCTTTGAGTGGACATGACCGATAAAATTTTGCATTGTAGGGTTTTTTTCTGTTGGGTTTTGTGTTTGATTTTGTTGTCGAAGAGTTCTGTCAGAAAAACAAATCGAATGTTATATTGTGCTCTTATTGAATCTTTGCTTTTAACGATTATCTTTTATGGCTCGCGAGTCCCACCCGTTCGTCCGGTCCTGCTGATAACATTTCCCCGATGATTCCTTAATTTCTCTGATACGTAGTTGTTAGTAAAACTACAAGGAGAAAAAAAAATAACTCAGCATGGTGTTCAAACCGTCTTTTAACGATAAATCAGACTCGTAAACAAAGGTCTGTATTTAAAATATATATTATTTATTATAATATTATGAGCAAGTGTATTTATTTCTTTGAACAATTATTTCTGCGACATCACAAACAATCGAATACAAAAACGCAATAAAACAATTTTCCTCGTCATAATATTTTATTGAAACTTCGTACGAATAGATTTGCACGATATCTCGCGCCTTGGGTAGTTGTGTGCCAAGAGTAATGGAAAATTTATGGGAAGGTTTTTTTTGTTTATTTTTAATTTATGGTGTTTATATGAAAATCATTTCCATGTGTTTTTTCTATTTTATTTATTTATTTTTATTTTTGGATGTTTCGGAACTTATACCCATCCTCAGAAACCACAAAAAAAATTTCCTTACAAAACATATCATCATTACAAAAAGAATATTAGTATTTTACAATTATTCTCATAATATATTCAAAATTTGAGAATAATTGTAAAATAATAATTTTAATTCTTTTTGTGAAGATATGTTTAGTAAGGGAGACTTTTCGTTGTCGCTAGTCTCTCAGGGTAGGTATAAGTCCGGAAACGTCCAAAATGTAAAAATATAAAAGAAATAAAAACAACTTGGAAATTTTTTTCTTATAAAAACCATAAATGAATAAAAAGACAAAAAGTCTTAGTATATCCATGTTAAAAACACTTATAAAAATTTATTTTTAAGTATAAATCAAACTCGTTCAGTGTTTATAAGATTTTTTTAAAATTGTCTAGCATTTTTATACACTTTTGGCTTGTTTACATTTATAAACAAACGGATTAGTCAGGTCATTGGCGTTTGTTTACAGTAGGGATGATAATAATCTGGTTAAAAAAATTCAATCCATTTTATATAAACATGATTAAAATGTGATATAAATCTTTCTGAATCTGATTGAAATACTTGTATATAACGGTTAACTTCGAATTTTCTGTTATGGATAATTTTATTCTTTAGGTCAATTTAGAAGGTTTTAGGGTGAAAATTTCCTAGATCGGACTGTAAAAATTAAACAGTAAAAAATAAATTTAATTGCAACCTTCTCAAAACCAACACGACATATAGTAGAAAGAAATGGAAAATAAACCGTACTAATCGTTGTAAAATAATTAGAAAGTTTATGAAGTGATGTTATAAATATCTCAGGTAAAACTGGGACCCCCTTTCTTAATCAATGTAGCAAAGCTGTGTCGGACTGCCGGTTTTCCGTCCTCCAAAATAACACATTAAAAGCCCAGAAATGGCCATGTTAATGACATTTGCGAAGAAAGACTTGGATCAATGTTTTTTTTTTTTAAATATATGTAATCGTTAGTTATAACGTCTTTTTAATATTTGCACATGGTTTTACACCAAACTTCTGAACAGGTGTCTCTTTAATTTTATAAAACCTCTTGAAAAGATTTGCTTTGAACACGCTCATGATTTTACGATTTTACATCAGGCAAACAATTTTTTTTCCAAATATTTTAAAGCGAATTGTGTGTACAATTTTTTATTCAGACTTCAATCCGAAATATATATCGCTAATTGTACAGCTAAGCTGAACATATAAAAATAAATGTTCCGTATTAAATTTGCAAATTTTCGTTCGATAAGTCCATTTTTTCCTTTACGTTTTGTCTATACTACAAAAAAAGTAAAATTGTTAAAAATATTTTACATTCGTGGCTGAATCCGCTCGGTATTATTATTCCTGCGATAGAAAACTTGTTTGCTTACTATTGTTTGCTTTATGTTGTTCGTGAATCGTTAATGTAAACATTGGGTTTCATTTTCATCAAATGTGCTGATCGTGTTCAGAAATATTTGATTTTTTTTCTTACTTTAGTTTAAGTTTATTCGTTTATTCGCGCTTTCTTTTCTTTTCTGCAAAATTAGTTAATAAGTACGTGTTTTGTTGGCTTTAACACAATGGGGTACGGGCCTACTCAGGCTTTTAACCCCTCGGGTCCTGGTCGCCCGCCCTGTGTAATATATGGCTTTAACACATTTATAATAAAATGCTTTGAAAAAACATCGTATTTTGGCTATATTCAAGGCTTGTAAGCTCAAAACCACCATATTTCCAAGCCGGCAATCGATTTTCAACGATTTTTGTTTTTACTCTTTATTTGAAAATAAAGTTAAGTGATCACGGCACATAATAAAATGTACTAAAAAGCTTTTTTTTCTTACGCAAAATGGGTTAATAAATATGTTATACGGTCTACATTTATAATTACATGCTAAACAGAAAACTCAAATTTTGCCATTTTTAAGGCTTGGAAGCTCAAAACAGCTACATTTCAGGTCAGTGTTCAATTTTAAACGATTCAAGAAAAACGCCAAAAACCCGAAAAAATCGAAAAAAATTTATTGTCTTTTTCGATGTAAAAGGCTCGTAGGACACGTTTTTACTGTTTACTCAAAAAAAAAGTTTAGATGATCACGACAAAGATAAAATGTACTAAAAACCTTTTTTTTCTTTCGCGAAATGAGCGAATAAAAATGTTACATTTGTTTTGACACATTTAATATAACAAAAAGACTGAAATCTTTGCTATTTCCAAGACTTTAAAACTCAAAAATTTGGCAACTTTACAAGTCAGCACTCAATTTTCAACGATTTTTGTTTTTACTCTTTATTTCTTTTGAAAAATGGTAGATTAAATATGTGTTATGTGGCTTTGAAACATTTATAATAAAATTCTTGAGTCAGCACTTAATTTAGAATGATTTTTGGTTTTTTATTTTTACTCTTTATTTGAAAAATGTCAGGTGATCATGGTATACATAAAAATTTATTAAAAGATTTTTTCTTTTACAAACTGGGTTAATAAACATGTATTATGTGGGCTTTGACACATGAAATGCTTTTAAAAAACTTCAAATTTTGGCTGTTTTAAGATTTTAAAGTTAAAAAATTTGGCAGCTTTGCAAGTCAGCACTCAATATCCAAGATTTTTTTAATTTTTGTTTTTACTCTTTAATTAAAAAGCTTTTTTTCTTTTGCTGAATGGGTATTAATAGGTGTTCTGCCGTGTGTGAGCTTTGATTAGTTTTAAAAATGATACACATACAATTTTACGGAATTGCAATCGAATAAATCCCATAAGAAGAAAATACCGTTAAAACCTCACAAAAATGGACATTCACACACTCAAATAAAAAAAATAAATAAATATTTTCCATCGATATCTATCCCCATATTTATCTCAACCTAACCAAAATTTATTAAAGTATTTATTTCATTACCCAGAATAATTATTTTAAAAAAATGCTATATTCAATCCGTTGTAATTGGTACAATATTTACAAGTCCATTATATTTAGTGCTCTATTGACCAAATTACTCCTTTCAATTAATTAATCTTTCTATATAAGGTTTTGATCGAAATGAAAAAGCTGGTGCCACGAGCGGGATTCGAACCCACGACCTTCGGCTCAATTCGCCGCTGCTCTAACCACGAATTAGAATCCCGCTAGTGGCACTACCTTTTTCAATTCAACCAAAACCTTACATAGAAAGATTAATTAATTGAAAGAAGTATTTACAAGAAAGACAACAGTGCATGTATATTTCTATTAGTTATCCGTATGTTTTTTAGTTGGTCCTACTTAACCAAAGCAATTAATTAATGCAAATTTATTGAAAATTTTTATGTAAAGTGTGATTGAGATAAAACATTATTGTCACAAGCGGGAATCGAACCCACGTCCTCCGGTTCTATACCCACGTGCTCTAAACTTCTCACGATAGATCAAGCGATTCACTTACAAAGAGAAGTTTTTACTTGCTGTCTGTTTTCCTTCTTCTTATTCCGAACTCTTTCCCGTGAATATCATTGAGCTTTATTATTTTTATTTCTACACCTTAACTTTTTGTATCGGAAATTGCATTTCTCGTAACGCGGTTGTAACTGTGTTGAATTTTTAAAAATTCTATAATTTTGACAGTTGTGACCGTCAGGGTACGGCTTTCAAATATTTTCGAACTTTTATTTTCTTGGCCGATTTCAAGTTTTAAGCCGTACGCATGGATCAATAAGCCTGTCAAATAACGTTAATACGACGAATGCCGAAATGAATCGAATGATGTGACTTCTATTCGAAAGGGGGGAAAAGCGAGAGTTCGCGGATCCACAGTTATTGAAAAATAGAGATAAATTGTTTTGTTTTTTTTCCCAAGTAGAGATAGTAGAAAATATAATAATAAGTTGTAGTTTTGTCTTCTATTTTTACCACAATAGTCGTTTTTCTCGACTAATTTTGTTGATACAAAATAATATCAATATTATTTTGACTTTCCGTATTCAAAGATAAACAAATGATATCAATATTTCTGATAACTTTATATATNTTTTTTTGTCTAAGATTTAAAAAAATCAAATATGTGAATGCAGTTGTTTAAGATTTAAAAAAGGTAGCTTTTGAGATAATTATTCACGCATTACAATTCGTCCCAACTGCGCCGTCACATTTTGTCGTATCTTAAAAAGAGATATTTAAAAAATAATTCTACTTATCGAAATCACAACCAATTTAACGACAAGGCCTTTTATTCAATAAGATACAGATTACCCTGGATAGAGATAATATTCTCTTAGATAAAAGCCAGGCCAATGAAAGTAATGGACTTCTATGTTTGCCTAGTTACTGGCATGAAATCAATTGTCACGGGTTTCACGTTTTTCTTTTATCCAGTCTTGAGACGTTTTACAGATGCATAATATTTCAATTTTTCGAATAGAAGAAACACATTTTTTTTTTTAAACCGACCAAAATTTTTCTTTACAAATAGTTTTCCTTTTGTTGAAAGATCCTTTTGTTAATTTAAGATCGGCTTAAGATAAATCCCTTTTTATTTTGATAATTGGAGAAATGTCTGATTGTAGACGAACTACAAACGGTCATTGTTCTATTGTTTTGTCAAGTAGCATTTTCTCAATAGATTGTATACTTTTGGTTAGTCATAGCCACAAAATTCCTTTCGAATTTTATATTATCTCGAGATAAACAGCTTAGAATGATTCATGCCGATTTAAATAATTGTGCAGAACTATTTTTTAATATATGTATAAAATAAATATTTTTATTTTAATCGTTTGCCTGTTCGTGTACAATTATTGTTTTTGTTACTTTAATCCTAAAAAGATAAATTGACCGAAAATTTAAAAAAATAAATATTTTATGATTTTTTTTTTAAATATTAAAATATATTGTTTAGTATTGAAATCAGTTGACTAATATTATTCCAGACTTGAATGAAAAATCGAGAATTAGAAAAAAATTTCATTGGCGTTAATTTATTTAAATTTATTCATTCAATTTGCAGTCTTCTTTATCGTGATCGTCTAACCTTTGTTGAAGTAAAAGAGTAAATACAATTATTTAAAAGTCATTTAAAATTGAACGCTGACATGGAAATTTACGAAAATTTTGAGCATCAAACCCTTAAAAGTAGTCCCAATTTGACTTTGTTGTTTAGAATTTTAGTATAAATATATAAACGCCCTCTGACCCGTTTTTATTAACCCATTTTGGTATGAAAAATGATCTCAACGAGGGTACGCGTTTAAATAAACGTAAATAATCCATAATCAAACAAAAATTTTTTTAAATAAACCGTAAAAACAAAAATCGTTCAAAATTGAGAATTTTAAAAGTGTCAAAACTAACATAGCACGTATTTATTCACGTATTTTGCAAAATAAAAAAGCTATTAGTATATTTTATTTGTGCCGTAATCACCTAATCTTTTGGCAAGTAAAGAATAAAAACAAATGATTATTTGGAGATCATGTATACCGCACAAATAAAAACGAAAATCCAAAATTCGTTTAAAATCGTGTGCTGACTTGTAGATTTGGCAAAATTTTGAGTTTCAATCTTGGAAATAGCCAAAATTGTTGTTTTTTTTGTAATTTTTTTTAGTAATTACAATTATTTATTTTAGTAGTTTTAATAATTAGCACATTTTGCACAAGAAAAAAGCTTTTAGTAAATTAATTTTATCAGTACCGTGATCACGATTTTTTTAAGCGTTTTATTTGCTTCAAAGCCTTTGTAACACGTATTTATTAGCACATTTTGCACAAGAAAAAAGGTTTCAGTAAATTTTTATCAGTACAGTGATCACGATTTTTTTAAGCCTTTTATTTTAAATGCTTCAAAGCCTTTGTAACACGCATTTATTAGCACATTTTGCACAAGAAAAAAGGTTTCAGTAAATTTTTATCAGTACCGTGATCACGATTTTTTTAAGCGTTTTATTATAAATGCTTCAAAGCCTTTGTAACACGCATTTATTAGCACATTTTGCACAAGAAAAAAGCTTTCAGTAAATTTTTATCAGTACCGTGATCACGATTTTTTTAAGAGTTTTATTATAAATGCTTCAAAGCCTTTGTAACACGCATTTATTAGCACATTTTGCAAAATAAAAAAGCTTTTAGTAAATTTTTATCAGAACCGTGATCACGATTTTTTTAAACGTTTTTTTATAAATGCTTCAAAACCTTTGGAACACGCATTTGTAAGCACATTTTGCCAAAGAAAAAATATTTTATTAAATTTTCATCTGTGCCGTAATCACGATTTTTTTTTTTCAAGTGAAGAATAAAAACAAAAACCCAAAAATATTTTAAAATGGATTGGTGACATCTAAATTTGGCAAAAGTTTTGAGCTTTAAAATTTATTGTTATAATTGTTTAATATTGTTTTAGATTTGCCAAATCCAAAATAGCATTCACTAATTTTGCAAAAGTAAAGACCTTTTAGTAAATTTTTATCTGTACATGAAAAAAAAAGGTGAAAAGTTAATGAAAGTCTTTTTGTATACAATATAATTTTATTTGGTGTTTAAATTACCTAAAAAATGTTTAAATGTGTTAGTTAAAGCTTAAAAATTCCTCTATACTGCAAAACACTTGGTATATCAATTTTTTATACTTTATCTATAAATACATTAAAATGTATTTTTTTTTACTTTTTGGGATTAAATTATAAAATAATATGCAGGAGTAATTTATACTAATTCCACTTTTTTTCTATTCTATTATAAGGAACACTAAATAGTTTCTTCTGTTATACAATAACTCTTTAGTTTGACCAAAATTATCACAATTAAGGTAAACATACTGATTGATATACATTCTTATATATAAATTGAGGGAACTGTCAAAATACAGTTCTCTAAATTTATTTTTGCAATCCTGTTTGTATGACAGCCCACTTATTATACTTACTGCCTTTCTTTGCAAGCTAGATATCTTGTTCATGGATGATGCTACCCCAGACCAAATTAGCGTACCTTATTTTATTATCACAAGTTGCATAATAGGCAACCAGTATTGTTTTTTGTGTTACATTAGTGTTTAAAATCCTTATAAACATAAACTTTGACTTAAAATTTTGGTTAGCTTATCAAAGTGGATTTTTCATGTCATACATGGGTCAATAAAGACGCCTAATAGTTCTACAGCATCAGGGTTATCAGGTACCAATTTCAGATCTTTGAGATCACAAATCATAGTTTATGATTTCTTTCGTTTAAGGTTAGACCATTTTTTAAACCAAGATTTTAGCTGCACTTGTAAGAGTTTGTTATTGTCTACTAGAGTTAATACCTACCTTCTTTTTACCTTTTGGGCAGTGTGGGTATCATGTGCAAAAGCGCTGGAACGTACCAGCAGAAAACTGTTATACAATTTATTTGTGTAAATAATGTATATAATCCGTTATATAGTCAGACCAACCTTGATTTTAACCAATTAGAGTATTCTTGTTGTTGTCTAACTTCGAACAATCTTTCTGAAAGATAAGAGGTCAAAAGTTCAGCAAATTTTCTTGGGAATATTACTTTAAGCATATATGTTAAAACTGTGTGCCAAACCTTGTCAAAAAAATCTTGGCATGCAATACATGTCAGTAATTCTATATATCTGATCTATACAAAGCTTGGCATATTCGCTTTTTCAGTGTAGGGTTTGGTAGTTTTGTTATTGTACTGATCTCAGCCGCTTTCCAATTCAAGTAGTACAAAGTAAATAAATGTTACCATATTTTATTTTATTTATTAAAAAAAAAAATATTAACATTTTTCACAAAACATATTGACACTTTTTAGTTTTTTAAATTAAAAAATAAGATACTGATGACAGATGTAAATTCCCAAAAAGTCCAAAAAAACTAATGGAAAAATAAAGCAGCAAAAATATAATAAATTAAAATTAATAATAATATTAACATGTTTTATGGTTATATTTATATACATAAATATATAGTATATTTGTAGTTTGTTCATTTCATATAATTTTCATCTGCCTAGATGTAAATTTCGGAAATGTCCAAAAAAATTAATCTAAAAATAAAGTAGAAAAAACCACAGAAAAGTTTTTATAAAAAAAATAATAATAATAACGATGAGCTAGATTATCGACCTGCTGGAAACATGAAGTTTTTTCGGAGGATCTACGGAAGAGGTCAACACAGAGAAAAACTTCCTTTCGGTTTTCACCGAGCTTTCGACAGTTTTTATACTGTCATCTTCAGGGCCTGTTTTATTATCATATAAAAAAAAAAAAATTAAAAACAATTTGTTTTTCATGTTTTTAATTGTTTTTTTTGTATCTACTACACGAAACATGTAATTAATCATTTTCCGTAGTGGTTTTGTTCTTTTATACATCTGAACTATAAAGCACACAATACGCAAAATTAGAAGCATGTGATTCGTAAAGTTCTGCCTATATGTTCTGAGGGTTAATTTTCAATGGTATGTTAAAAAAAAAGATGTATTACTTTTCTGCCTTTTGGGCTTGGTTCATATATATCTTCAGCATCACTAGTACATAGCTTCTTTTCCTACACAATCAGAATCATTGTCTTTGATTTGCTGCTACAGATTTAACCTGATAAAACGAACTTAATAAGTTATTCTGCATATTATACACAATTATAAAACGAATAAACTCCTGCTATGCTTTTCTATTAAAAAATGACATTTACAGTTAGCCTAGCTACCCATTAACGACAATCTATTTTATTATTATAAACAAACCATTTTAATTTTAATTTAACTATATAATTACACATTAAATCCATTATATTTCGTGGTCTATTGACCAAATTACTTCTTTCAATTAATTAATCTTTTTATGTAAGGTTTTGGTTGAAATGGAAAAGTCAGTGTGACGAGGGGGATTCGAACCAACGATCTTCGGCTAAACAGCCGCTGCTCTACAACGAGCTATTGTGACTTTGATTCACTCGGACACCAACTCCCCAACTCAACTTACAACTTTTCGAATTTTCCCACCTTTTTGTCGTTCTTCAAATGTCGTGTAATCAGGATTCGATTCTCGGCGAAATACGAAGTGGCCACAGGGAGCTTTGAAGTTATACTTCATTTTACTCATTAAATCCATTATATTTCGTGGTCTATTGAACAAATTACTTCTTTCAAATAATTAATCTTTTTATGTAAGGTTTTGGTCGAAATGAAAATATAAAATACGATTACATTTTCTTTTTGTTTCAGGAGGCAGCTTCAAATGAAGTAAAACATTTAAAGTTAAAATTAACAAACCCTGCAAGAAATAAGAATATAGAATATAAATTCCTAGAAAATCCAGATGTTGGTAATATCATACTAGATGTTATTAGATTGGCGAGGGAACAGTATCCTCAGTTGGATTGTCTTCTGAGTGAAACAGTGTTACGGCGGTATGACATCACAAAACACAAAAGTTTGAATACATTATGTGCATATTTCAACAGGAGTATTCGTCATTTATTCTACAATGTGCCATACCCACTTGAAAATACGGCGAATAAATCTTTACTCGAAAAGATTTTCAGCATAGTGGTGAAGGAAAAACATTTACCAAAAGATGTCTTCAATGATAAGAACTTTGAGAGTGTTTGCAATATATTTGAATCTTTAAACTTGACAGAAAATGATTCAATTTGCAACATTGGAACTGGAATAGGTGAAATAATATTACAGCTTGCTTCTTATTTGACGCCCTGCTCTAAGATTGTCGGTCTTATGGAAAATTGTATACCAGAGCATTCTAAAATGTTTCACATTCATTTTCAACAGTATGCTGATTGGTTTGGGAAAAAAAATAAGAAAATCCATTTCATTTGGCCTGACTGTTTTTCATTACCACAATTTGTAAATCAGATCGGTACGTACACCATCATATTTATTGGAGAGTCAATACTGGAAAGAGAGATACTTTTAAATATGATTTCATTGTTAAATGAGAATACAAAAATATATTCAACATCGTTAATTCTTGAAATGAAAGATTCTCTAGGGCTAGAATGTCTAACATCTACGAATGAACATTATCCTTTCATTTACATGAAAAAACATACAGAAACAACAAAACTATTAGGTGATTCGTTAATAAATTCCAAAACTGAAATAAGAAAATTGAGTCTTGAACATAACTTAGAAGAGGAAAATTTGCAAAAGAATTCTTGCGACTTTCTCGTAAAGGATACAGAAAGCAGTATTGAATGCATAAATAATGGCCCTCTGAAAATCTTTACTGAAGATTTAAATGATGCTGAATTATCAGACAGCAATTTTATTGGTGTTCAAACAAGAAGATCATGGGCAGAATGGTGTAGAAATAAGGTAGATTTTCAAGTAAATAATATCAGCAAGGATAATAGTGATTTAGATCGAAGAGTTAAACAAAATGATTCATTTTCAAGAAAGCATAGATTTAAAAAATCACAGATATCTCGTTCCAAACTTGCCAGGACAAACAAAGTTAAAGATAATTTAGAAAAGTGCGACTTTAATATGGAGGATGGTGATGAGGAACCAAGAATAAGTGGTATTCCCATTGATGTCTATGAAAAAATGTATACAATTCTATACAAAAAAGTAGAATTTTTTAGTATTAAATGCCCAACTTTTTTACTCAAAGGACACGATGAACAATTTAATGAATCGTGTTTCAATAGTTCAGATATTGGAACAAAATTGGACTGAATAAAGTGATATCTAAGTTAATTCTAAAATGTCAATAATTATTCAAAATTAATATAAAAATAATTTTGAATTGTTAAATGTATTTTTATATAAATTACATTTGAGTAAAAGTCAAGTGAAAACTACTTTTAACTTGAACTGAAATATTTTGGTAAAAGAATTAAGTTATTAAGTATGTAGTGTAAATAAGTGTTTTGAAAAATAAACATTACAGATAAAAAGCAATGGACTTTTTTAATTACATGCTTTTTTAAGTATACATATATATTTTTTTAAATAAATAAGGATCTCATATTAAAGATAAAGCTTTAATTAAAATAAATGTAAAAAGTTCCTTCAACATGTTTTGTTTTTATTTAAATAAATATTTAGAATATATCGATTTTAGTATTTTAAAGCTAAGCAATATTTACAAAATAATTTATTTTTCACATAGTGAGAAAACAATGTACTTTTAATAATATATGGATATACTTTTTTAAAACAAAAATGTAATATAATTTGCCTACAAAAGCATTTTACTGTCGTTAATGTTTTTTCAAAATTTTAACATAAAAATGTGACCAATTGTATGATCCAAATTCTAATATAAAGGCAAATTGTTATTTAATAGCTTGTAAAAATGCAAACATAACCATACATTTTTGTTTTTTCTACTTATTTGATGTATTTTGTTGATTCAATTGTAGACAATAATGTAAAAACAAAATATATTTTTAAAATATAAGAAATGGGTGTCTGTTTTTCTATTTTTGCTAAAGAAGTTTTATCCAAAGAGATAACACATTATAAAAACAGGCTGTTTTATTATACAATATTTATGTGTGAAATATAATGTAAATATATTTTATAATGAAAGATATTTATTTCATTTGCACCTGTTTAGAAAAAATAGAATTCCTTATTTTGACTTTATTGCCAATGGGGTTTTAAGACCACTACATTAACATCTATTCAGTTCTACTAACCCTCTAGACCCATAGTACATAACAACGTAAGAAAACTTTCACTAATTTACATATAAACCATTGCTTAAAGACTTTATTTTCAAGTTTATCAGCTTTGTTAATCTCCTGGCACAAAGATCCAATTCAATTTTCCCCAGGCAGTAGACCAATAAAACTATAAAAGTTTCTTTTACCAAGAAAAGGGCATGAGAAGGACAAGAGCAAACTATGGTGTCATTCCCTTATATAATGAAGTAAAATATCTAGCCAATTTTTGATCAATGACAACTAATTTAAAACAAACAAAAGAGGAAAAATTAACTTGAGTAAAGGCCTTTGTTGGAAAAGCTGGGAACTAAGTCTATACATACCCCTCTTTTATACACAATGGCTGTTAAGGCTCGTTAACCTACAGATTAGTGGTTTGGTGGATGAACTCAGAGTTGAGAGTAGTCAAGAAAATATTCAGGGCTGCCCAGAGGCTAATGGACGTTGCTGGGGCAATGAAGACATCTCCATGCTGAGCAGGAACTATCTTTTTAAAAAGGATTAAAAGACGTGTGATTTTTTTTTGTCTTATGATCTTTCCATATTAGCCATGACGAATTCTTATATATGTTGTTCAAATTGGGGGTTATCGGGAAAAAAGGGCCAAAGGCGACGGTGGGAATCGAACCCACGACCGCGGCGTGAAAGTCTCTCATGCTAACCACTCGGCTACCGCAGTCCCCTGTTTCTACACTTCAAATGCAACACAAACTTTGTGTTAACCATGGTCCAATTCTCAACCCTTTCTCAGATACTAAACTTTTTTTCCAACTATCTATGGTTTTTCTCTAAATTCTACTTGTAGCTCATGTATTTGTTTTTGGGGAAATCCGGACGTACTTAAAAGAGCATTTAGTTTTCTTTACGAAGGTACCCTTATAGAACTTTCAGTTTAAGTTTTGCTTAAAAAAACTGCTGAAAAAATTCATGTTCCAAATTTCACAACTCCTTTGTTTAATAAGCTTTCTAGCAATATACCCTTTTTTTAATTACATCAAACCAAAATGCAAAAATTATGGAAAAGTACTGAGGATGCAAAAAAATTTTTTAAAAATGGGATTAATACAGCAATTCATCCTTGGAAAAATTTCTGGTAAAATCCATAATGCCCAGCCAGACAGAAAGTGATCTGTGGCTTATGACTAAGGCAGACTGGCAACCTAGTTGTACTGCTCAATTTGTATCATCCCTGTCAGTCTGAATTTGTGAATACAATCTATCAGTTTAAGAGACCAGTATCACAGAAATAAATAGAAATAGTCATTTGTTAAAAGCAAAAGGTAAAATCAATTAAAACTATAAATAAGGTATAAACACACATCACAGAAAAAAAAGGTTTATTAATTAAAAGATAACATTTTTTTTGTTGAAAAACTTATTAGTCCAAAAAGTTTAATCCAGCTGCAAGAAAAAAAGAAAAACCAATAAATTATTCAAAAATAATTTAACAATAATCTGAAATACCTTTTTAAAGCCGATATCTGCGGCATATTCTCTGAAGCACTGCCTACAAAGGTTTAGACCATACTTCCTGATCAAACCATGACCATTGGCACAAGCCCGGCTGTAAATAAAATAAATCCATTCATTTATCTAAATAATTCTAATAATAATTAATAAAAAATTAATGATGTTATAGAAATTTTACAAGAATGCTTTGAAATATAAGTAAAACTCTATTTTTCATTATGTTAAATGTTATTAGGAGTGCTGAAATGTCAATGAGAGAGAAAAAAGAGAGGGAAGGAGAGAAAACAATTTAAGAATAATTATTTTAAAAAGTCAATTGATTTTCTGTGTGTGTCCTGAATATCAGAATTAACTGAGATGTCTCGTTTAAATCCAATTGAATACCTTGGGTAATGGAGGATGTCTAAGCAAAATATGTATAATAATAATATTTGGGCCTGACAGACAGCTGAGGTCATTGCTGGTTACTGACTATCTGGTTTTATATGTATACTAAATTATTATTCAAAAATTCTACACTCTCGTTTGTACCTAAGCTTGTCAAATATTGAATACAAACAAAAGTTAAATATATAAACAACTAATTATTGTTTTTATCTAAAGTCTTGGTTAAAAAGAATAATTAATTGAAATTATTAATATGGGAAATTATAACCATTAAACAAAATAATTATAACCACTAAAATAAAATATATGGATTTATATAAACAGTGTCCAACAACCTATTGGAACCTGGAACTGCATAGGGAACCTGAAAATTACGAAAATACCCAGCGTAACTCCAGGGCTCCTCTAAGTGAGTCCAGGTACCCATCCTGAAAAAAAAAAACATGGCCAGCAAATACAATCCCTGCCCAAATCATGAAATAGTACATCACACACCAGGTATCAGTAGTACTCTATATTCCTACACTGGTGTACCATCACACCCAATCAAACACAATAGTCTGGAACTCACTCCATTCCCGCTAATAACTTTTACTACCCAGGCATCACACACTCACCTCAGATCCTAAACCTTTTACTTAGTAAATAAATGACAATATAAAGTGGGGAATACACTTACCCGACACAACACAACATGACCCAAAGCTACCTGACACAAATTCAATGTCCAATTTTTCAAAAGATTGTATTATCAGCTACGCTACTCTACACTATGTGATGCAACCAAGTTCTCCAGTGTCCAGATTTTCGTCAAGTAGCGTTGATTACATTCAAAGACAAAAGAACAGGGACTCATATTTTTTGTAGATTATGTCAAATTATATGAATTTTTGAACTAATATTAATTATAACATGCTTATTTTAATGTAAACCAAGTTAAATGAGATCCAAAAATTCATGAGTTTTTACAAAAATTATTTAATTGTGATGGTTTGGCAGAAAATTGATCAAAACACCAAAATACCATTTATTGATAGAAAGAATTTAACTAACAATTAATTACATGATATTGTTTATAAAAATGCATTGAGAAAAAAAAAAAAGACAAGGTGTTGGGCACATCATGTTGTGTTGTGTCGGGTGTATTCCCTACTTAAGACACTGGTAATACTTTCTACGACCCCAGAGGTGCTTCTTTTTTGAACAATCACTATCCTCGATATAGCTCATTTTCACAACTTTGGTCACTATTTAATTATTCAGAAATCATGAGATGCGGTCTAGTGTGATGTAGGTTTCAGAAAAACATTTTCTTTATCGTGCCAACGTTTCGATCTTTATTGAGATCATCTTCAGGGCCTTGTGTTGTCTGCATTTCAGCAAAAAAGTTCTCTGGTTGATAGCCGATGCGAGTTTCTTCTCATTGTTGGCGATGTCCTTCAGAATACTTTTAGCTGCGTGTCCATATGTAGTTGAAATTTGTTCATAGAATCCCATGTTCTTCGTTCTTCTCGTGTAGAAATGTGTGCTGATTAGTAACCGTTAATCGATAATTATTCAGAAATCGTGAGATGCGGTCTGATGTGATGTAGGTTTCAGAAAAACATTTTCTTTATCGTGCCAACGTGTCGATCTTTATTGAGATCATCGTCAGGGCCTTGTGTTGTCTGCATTTCAGCAAAAACACTCACTATACTTACCAAAGGGCGGTTTAAGCCACCACCTCATGGTAATGTGCATACATAATTTTATGCACATATATTTAAGGCTGGCAAGTTAGAAAATGTTATTGAACTCAGCAAAGAATTTATTCATATACAAAATTGAAAGAGCTGGCAATGGAAGACCTGGGAAGTACAAGTTAACGTCTCACAATTACAATTAACTGATAATACAATAACAATTATAACTAACCGTATAACATCAATAAAAATTAAATATTGAGACTACTAATTTTTTTTTACAATAAAATTCAATCTAAAACCAGCTTTGGAACGCCTTTAACCTAACTCTTATTACAACACATGCTAGAAGAAAAAAATCTTACCAGGAACGTGATCCTTGTCCGTATTTACGGGGATGTGAGTACCAAATGTTTGAATGACCCATTTTATTGTTTTTTTCAAATAAATCTTTCAATCAAATTGAAGACCACGTGTCAGTAATAAACTTTACAGACCGTACAGCGCTCTGAAACGAGAAAGGGTTAACCATTAAGCAGTAAGCACCGCAGTCCACAGTATAGCCACTAGCCAAATGGTCACACTGAATATCCCATTTTATAAGTTTATTAACAATACTTTCTAAAACAATTAAATGTATTCAATTTATTCAAATGCAAGTTTGTGTTTAATTTTAGTCAGATAAAAGTAAAGAAAGTACATTAAAAACTGAACTTTTATTTTAACAAATTCATAACTGGGTTAACATTAAACTTGTCAGTGATTTTAAATATGTATCTACTTTTGTAACCCCCAAATTTAAATTTGTTTAGAATAAAAAACCAGATCGGTATCTTAAATTGAATTAAAAATAATTTGAAATCAAATTTAGTTGACAATGATCCACATTTTCTTTCAAATAATCAAAAATCGATTGCATTTTAACAGTATTTTAAAAATAAATCTGTTAATCATAATTGTCTCTGACTGATTCTATCACTTAATTAACATTTAAAATAAAATAAAAAGTACCATATTAACATGAACAAAATTGTTACCAAATATATTGCTAAAACCTTTTGTTTTAACAGTTTAATTAAATAAAATATTTATCATTTATTTAATTAAAGGGAGCAATTACATTCACATTTAGTTGTCAGGAATGACAGATCTGAAAATGTCAAGTGTAGTAGACAACAGAAAATATATTTAACTCTATCATAAATTACATTGTTTTGGGTTTAGTGATGTTAAAAGGGGAGTGGGCATAAGAAATGCTAATGAAATTTTAAAAATTATATGTATTAATGTACATGAGTTTATAAATCAATAGCACAAATTATTTGATAAATACATATCTCCTTACCAAATGAAAGGAGATCTCTCTCTTAGTATCTTGACACCGAATTTCATGAATTCTTCTTTCGTTATCCAAAGTTCCTGGGCAGATTCCAGACACGAAAGAATAGCTGCCCCTTTCCACACAGTCATGACAGGATCCATTTCTTTAGGCGAAGATATAATTTCTACTGTTTCTGGTTTTAAGTTAATAGGAATTTGATATTCGAGTTTTGTCTTGAGCCAGTTTGCAATACCTTTAAATTTCATTCCACCGCCGACGACGACTATGTTTCCGAACATTCTCCTTTTCATGTCGTCTGTTGGGCATCTTTGTATGCTTTGAATAATGGCTTGATCTAGCGGTAAAAATTGTAGTTGCCCATAGCTGAATTCATAATCGGTGCTGACATCCATATCAAGGATGTCTCCATCATCCAAAGCATCTGTAGAAGGATCCTGAACATCTTTTGTCCCCTTTCTACTCGTTTCTCTCAAATATTCTGCATCGTGAGGATCGGAAGAATCTCCAGCTGTCCTTTTCTGAGTTACAATCGGTTTGTTTGCTGTAAAGGAGAAAATTTCTGGCTGGAAAAGGCCCAAAGGGGCAATCATACACTCATCTCCCAACTGAATTGTGTATTTTAAAATGGGTTTTTTAGGCTTCCGTACCGTAAATGTTTTTTCTTTACAACCACAGACATCGAGGTTGACATGGCAGCTTTCTTGTTTAATCTTTTCAATTAGTAGAGCATCATAATTATTTGTTAAGTCACATTCTTTATAAGGAAAACCACATCTATTCAAAAGCCAATGTAAACACTGCGAAATATCTCCTCCACCATATGGCAATCTTATCCTTGTCACAGGATGACTAGTACCATCTTCTACACAGGAGATTGATGTTTTAGCATGCCCACAGTCGATCACACAGGCCGAGCCAACACCAGCTCCAAATGTTGCTGCTACATGATCTTGTAGTAGAAAGCATGATGAAAATCCCATATCTAAAATCAAATTGGTTAATTCTTTGAGATACTGCCTATTGTAAACATCAGGTATTATTAACACTGCCCTGTAGTGTTTTAAAGTGTTTAAAGGAATGTTAAGATTTGTTACGATAATGTGAGACCAAATTGTTTCAAGATCGGTTAAAACTCCGGTGAGCGAACCACCTATGCCACTATGGACGTTGAGATCGCCTCGTTTCATCGGAAAATGGATGTTGTAATCTAATTCAGATTCAGGATCTAAACACAGAACTTCATTTCCTATGGCAACATTGTTATTTGATTTGTACGGTTGGGGGCCAGTAATGTTCACAGTCTCCGGCACTGACCTCTTGTTGTACTGCGATATCTGCTGCGGAGGAGTAGCGTACCTCTTTTGACCGTCAGACATTACACAGCTTTGTAGGGCGTGTGAAACTTGCAGCCGGCAATAGTCAACCTCTAGTTCGACATTCGGATCAAGATTTGTTATCACCTGTGGTAATAATGTGTCGACATGGACTCCACCACCTTTGGACCTCATCCTGGCTATAGCGTGTAGCTCCATATGAGGATTCAGATCTGATGCCCTACCGATTTTCAAATACATCGATCCAGGATGGATAATTATTATTGTTTGGGCTTGCATATGAACTGGATCCTCCATTTCATCCATTGCTTTGCTATCACTTTAGACTAACTTAAGATTCTACAAAAATAAAATTGACATTATAAACCTCTGTATAAAATTATTTATTTTATTAGACAAATCATAACTCTTTTACTTTTTAATAAATTATTACTTTAACAAAACACATTCAAAACAAACATGGGTTGGTTTGTTGATTATAACCTTCCATCCAATAGAAGACGCTGTTTGAACTTTACAGATGTTGACTACATGCTTCAAAGCAATAATTACCCATAAACGTCATATAAAATAATATTTTAAATTATTAGATATTTCAAGTAAAAACTTAAATATTTAAATTTAAACTAGACAACTAAAGTTAAAAAATACTAAACTGAACTATTTTTATTGTTTTAGGCAAGAACTTTTGAGTTTTGATCATCTTTAAATTTAAAGTAAATAAAATCTGGTGGAAGAGTTCATAAAAAAAAGGAGTATTTATTAAAAAAACACCATCATAACTTCACGCTGAATGAAAAATAATTTATTTATCACTAAAACAATAGTTAAAATGGTAATAAAATATAACTCAGACTATCATACTACTAGCTTATAGTTTGTGCTATTAATAAATTTAATGAAGAATTTGGAATGCTTATTCATTAGTGTCTCCGGTTCCCGATATTCCCCTATTAGGATGAATCTGCCTCTTGAAAATTGGGCATTCAAAAATTATCTGCTCCCATGTCTGCAGCAGTTTCATGGTGCAGCTGCAGGATGTAAAAATGTATTTTCAGCATGGAATCCCTTGTTATCTCTTTTGCTAGCATGTTAATTTAAGTGCCTAACTGCATCTTTAAATATTTCATTTTATTTTTCAGGGTATTCGTATATTTATCAAATATAGCATGTTGGGCCTCCTTTTAGTAAATAAATAGCTTAGTCCCAATGCTAGGTTTGATTTTCCCCTTGTTAAAATTTTTGAAGCATTTTGTAAAGATAATGTTTGGTGATAGTGTCAATTCTGAACAAGAACTTTAAAAATGCTGTGTAGTCAGCATATTGCAAATATGTAGTTCAAAACTTGAATGCACTAACATTTATATAAATGTTGAATAATGTGGGCACAAGATCTGAACCTTGGGCCACCCCAGCTGTTAAATCTTGAATAAAGTGTGTACAATAAAACATTATTTTGGTCACTTACAAAATGGATATGAATGTAGAAAAGACAATAAAAAAATTAAAAACAAAACAATGTAATGTATAACAGTTTAATGATAATAATAATTTAAAATGTTTGCTTCCTATTACACTTCACAGTTTTGAAAAGTAATTATAATTCTACAGTATTCATTGATCTCAATAACATAAAATGAAAAATAACGGTTTAGAAAAAATATATGGAATATAAAATAAGTGTTCATTTGTAGTTTATTTAAAGGTGAAAACATGACAAAATTCAACCACAGTTTTATATTATACATTATTCCAGCAATAACCAGTTTTATATTTTATATATAACCAGTGTCAGACAATGAGCAATAAAATTATTTTTGTGGTTTTGCTTAAAATATTTTCATTAACAATATTTGTTCTTTACACTTTAAAGTTTTTCCGTTATTACATATTTTTAAAAAAATTCAAATCCATTCATACATATAACATACACACATACAATATATTTGTTTAAGAAAGAGATTCAATGTTGGAACATGGAAATTTGCTGAAGCTAATATATTTACAAAAAACCAAAACAAAAAGCAATTATATTTACACTTTTTTAATTACAAGTTTCACCAGAAGTAATTTTCAGTTTGTGGAGCTCTCATTACTCCAACACCACCCCCTAGCCGCCTGTAATTCATCGCACCGCACAACCTCCACTGGTTCTGCTCAGGGTCATAAACCTCAATAGTTTTTAAATAAGCAGTACCGTCAAAGCCTCCCACAGCATATAATTGACCATTGACGACAGCCAGGCCAACCTAAATAAATAATTTTCATTTTAATTATTGGGATATGTGTCAAATTGGTGGTTGTAATAATTCTTACCCCACTTCTCCTTGATGTCATGGCAACAATAGGGGACCAAGTGTTTGAATGAGGGCTGTACCTTTCTGCCGAAGAGAGCTCAGTGCAGTCGTCTCGGCCTCCAACTGCATATATGAGGTTGTTGAAAACGGCACAACCGAGATGTTTACGCCTAGTTGACATTGGGGCCATTGCTGTCCATTTATTTTGCCTAGGATCGTATCTTTCGACTAAATATTAAAAAAAATGTTTAAACCAAAAAAATAACAAATAAACTTCGTAAATTGCAAATATTATATAATGGTTTGTGCTTTTTTTTTAGCATAAGATATATAAAACTACCTTTTAAGTTCAACAAAAGACTTGACAATATATTTGTTCATTTAAAAAAACAAACTTATTTATAAAATCTAATGGAAATACTGGGAATTGAACCCACTACTATCCTGTTCACAACTCATGGCAGATGAAAATTTGTAAAAAAAAATCGGCACTTGTGAGCACGAATCAGAAAGAATAACTCAATCCGAACAATTAATTTGATCTAATGATTAAGAATGTTCTATAATTTAAAAAAAAATATACCAGAATTGAGAGGAGATTGACCATCAGACCCCCCTATCGCATAAAGATAGCCTCCTAAAACCGCAACTGCTACTCCAAGCCTTCTTGTAGTCATTGGAGCTACTTTACTCCACTTATTTTCTTTTGGATCATATCTGAAATTTTTGAAAATAATTTACAATAAATTCAATACTATATCAATAATTTTCTAATCAAGTATGTCAAGTATTATAATTAATTAAGGTTTTTAGTTGAGATAAAAAATGCGGTTGAGATGGGAAGTTGGTGTCCGAGTGGATTGAGGTCATGATAGCTCAAGTGGTAGAGCAGCGGCGTATCAAGCCAAAGATCGTGGGTTCGAATCCCGCTCGTGCCATTAACTTTTTTATCTCAACTAAAAACCTTAATTAATTGTAATATATTAATTGGTCAAGCAGACTACGAAATTAGTGAATTTTATGTCAAGTATGTTGTATTTAGTGTTCATACCTTTCAACATGATTTAAACATTGAACTCCATCCTGGCCACCAACTGCATAAAGAAAGCCGTCTAAAACAGCTACACCAACGCTTGTTCGACATGAAGTTGTTGGTGCAACATCACAGGACCATTGGTTTGTTTGTGGATCATACCTAATTAAAAAATAGTAATTTTTTTAAACAATTTTTTCTCACAATTTCGTAGTTACCTTTCAATGCTATTGAGATAAGACTGGCCATCATGGCCACCAACTGCATACAAAAGATCGTTTAACACTGCAACGCCCACACCACACCTCCGTTTTGACATTGGGGCAACCATTTTCCAATCAACAGTCTGAGGGTCAAATCTTTCTACAGATGCAATAGCATCACCACTGCACCATCCGCCGACTGAACATAATTAAAATTAGGCTGATATAAGAAAAGAAAAAAAAAGAGCTATGGGAAGAGAGAACAAACCAGCAAAAAGAACTTCGCCACGTCTTGTAGGCTTTCTCGGTCTTGTCCTTGGCCCTTGCATCAAGGGACGTTCTTGGGGTAATAAAAGATAATTTTTTGCTTCATCAACAAGATCCCGGCATGCCTCATCACTTCTTACAAGTAAATCTGACCCAACAGTGCCAACAAGAAATTTTGGACTCAGAAGAGGCAGTCTTACATGTTGCAATACCTAAAATAATTTGTTTATTTACTTTACAATGTTAGAATAACGTTCAATGCAAAACAGAATAGTGATTAAGGGAGGAGGTACACGGAAAATCAAAAACCCCATAGAACTGATTTAATTTTTCAATGCGTTAATTAAAGTCACAACGAAAAACAGACATCCCAGTAACATAGGCAATGCAATAAAAGCCCTGTGACATTGATCCGATTCCAAAAATACCCCCAATACCTTACGATACGGTTCAAAAATGTAGATTTTCTAGAAGAGTTCTGAAATGACGTATGTCTCTAATGTAAATGGGAAAAGGTTTAGTGTGTCGTTCTAGAATGACAGCCGTAAAAAATGTACACAATTTAAAAAGCCCGATGGGAGTTTCATTGTAACAAGACAAAAGACAGTGTTCTTCAAATCAGAAGTGACTTGTGCTAGGCGAAATATCGCATTCATAATATACGTATGTATACAGAGACCTGGGGCCTGATATCGAACCCGAGACAATGGAGGTTTTACTGTATTTAGTATTTACCTGGGGGAGATGTTGCCTCCTGTCAGACACATTATATTTCACCCATGACATAACTGCACTAAATACTTGTTCTTCAGATCTGACATTTAGTTCATCACTTGATATTATATCAACTAATTGTCCAACAGGCAACAGCAAGAATTCTTCACTCTCCATAACCTCTTGGAAATTATGCTGAGTGAACTTATCCGCTATTCTAAGAAGCTCTCTACATGAATGAGTATCGGCAAATGCTCTAATCCCCAGGCAGTTTGACGGGTCTAATTGTCGTTTCAGAAACTCACAGCAGATGTCTTGTATTTCAGCTAATTGTAATAGACAAGCTGGAACAGAAAATAAAATATGTTGTGTTGATTTGTTTAATATATTAGGCTTTTATGTATGAATTACCTGCAGGTAATAAAGTTTGGACATTGGCCTCTTCAACTACTATATGTGAAGTATAACAGAAATCTATCAGGAGCTCCATAGCATGTTCATCTATGTCTCTGATAGTCACTTCTGTCTGTCTTGACTCTGCAAGTTCGCCAGTGAACATAGCTCGAAAATAAGGACTACACGCTGATAATATAACCCTGTAAAATGAAAATAAAATTATTTAACAATGATAAAAATTAGAAATAACACACAATTGTTACCTATGAGCAAAGATTTTTCTTGATCCTACATTTAAAACTACATCGCATAGTTCCCTGTGTCTTCTGAGGACATTCAATTCTGTCAATGTGCCCCTTGGGTGTTTTTCTGAGGTATGAGCTAATCTAGCAGGTGAAGGGGCCCTGTCCCGGTCACCCCCACCACCAACGCCAGCTAACTCCGCCATTCTGCGGCCTGTTTGGAGCCGCAGAGGCGGAGAAGCCCAACCCCACACTGAGTCAATCTGTAAAAAATAAACAGTAATTATAGGCTGTTATAAAATGACAATGGCATTATACTAAAACAATATGTACACAACTTCTGCATTATCAGACTGAATATTTGTTTATTTTCAAGCTAAATTAAGAAAACATTGACCCAATTTCAATCAAAGTGGTTTGAAAGTTAACATGAATTAAAAAAAGTAATATTAAGAGTATATTGGATAATAAAATATTTTGTTTTCATCAATGGTAAACCATACAGAGCTGACTTCGGAAATTGAAGGTGCAACTTGAGGCTTTTCACCAACTGTGCTTGGCATATGATGCACTTTTTGATTAGAAAACACTAATTTGGTTTTTAAAATTTCGTGATGGTGATGAAAAGCTCGAGGATGCAGCTCGTGCAGCAAGACATATTATTGATGAGCAGCAACCGATGGATTTTTTAAAATATTTTTATGTGGGTATTTCAACTACAAGGTTATATGTAACCCTTGGGGTGCTGGTGTTTTTGAAAAAAGCCCATTTGTACGTATGTCCATTACCTTACAGTGATGAGCGCTGTGTCAACGCCTTAACCACTGTGGCCACCAATGCAACCGATGGATTTAATTTAATTAGATCCCGCCAAACTGCTTAGAGAAACTTCTCACCTCAATACATCTGAATCAACTACCAGGGATTACCTGGGAAAAGTAAAAAAAAACCTAGAAAAATGAGTCATACAATTTGTCTGAAACCTGTCTACGCTGTAGATTGCCTCTTATTTCTTTCCAGCCAAAGAAACTGATGAATTTTTGGAAAGAATCATCACTAGCGATGAAAAACAGGTCCTGCACCACAATTTAAATTGCCTTTAAGCAGTCAACAACATACTTCCCCTGGTGAAACTAAGAAATTTCCGAAGCCTACTCTATTAAAAAAAAAAATTACTCTATACTTTAACTGCCAAAGCTTTACCCCCTCCGAAGTGAATTACTGTGTCAGCCAGACCTTACAACTTGCAATCTTAGTAAATCTAATTTTTAATTAATCATCATTAGATGAGAAACATTGACATATATTCAACTATCTCTAGACCTTTATTTCACACTTTTTTGTAAGTGATGGTTTTACTCTCAGATTTGTCTGAAAAAGTGAATTAACACTTACTCCACCTTTATTATTTTTATTATAACTAACTCTAGACATGTCGCCAACAGATTATCACCTTTTCAAAGCTCTTGACTGTCTTGAGAAAAATCATTTTTAAAACTGCCACAGAACAGAATCAGAGATAACTTGTTTTATGACCTATAAAAATAAGGAATTCCTCATTTCTTAAAGAGGTTTTCTTCCTCCCTTCTTGTTTTGGATATGCAAATTTAATAAGGTTTGGGGGTTGATGCAGAAGACAATTCTTTCCTCCACTGTGACCTAAACAAGCCTATTGTGGAATCGTTTTAAATTAGAATTGAGCTTATGACTTCTTATTCCACCATTGGCCCTCTCACAATACACATTCACGCTAATAAATACATTCATTCTCGATAAACAGGGAAAAGAACCCAAAACAAGATCTCTATCAAGTACTGCATACAGTAAAACAACACTGTTTCCTTCAAAAGTCGGAACAGGGGACCCAAATACTCGCTGCTAGACTTCTCACTTGAGTGGCATTTACACATGCTTTCTATATGGAGCCAAGGAATCCTTTCAATCAAGAAGGGGACATCGAACGACTTTTCCCTACATGCTGGACACATACGTAAGCTTGGGCACAAAAGTAATTGCCCATGTTGAACCTCACATGGCCTAGTGTTATTCAGTATTTAGTCTGGTAAACACCGTCTTCTTATGATTAGCCAAGGTCAGTCATTTTTGGTCAATTGCTGGCATTTAATATGTGCAGTGTCCACTAAAATTAATGGAAGAAGCTCATAATAAAACACCTACAAATCTTACCAAATGCACAGAATGTAATCCGGCTTAAGGAATTGTTAACAGTTTGTCACTGCATCTTCCCTAAGATTTTCTTCTGTGAACATTGTTGTAAAGAACAAACTTTTCATCTCCATTTAAGAAACTTTAAAAAAAATTAACCTTTTATATTTGTATTTAAGGAAAGAATTGCAGATGGAGATGTGTTCCAATAAATTCTTCTTTTAACATTTAATGAACCCACTTATCGCTCGTGCAAACATATCCAGCTTTTCTCATTTGCTTTGAAACTCTCATATGTTATATGTTAAATGTCTCTGTGATGTTTTGTGACAACGAGTTTGGGTTATATGTGACAAAAGGTTGGATTCAGACAACTAGAGTGCTTTGTGTCTTACAAATCAAAATTTCTGCTACGAAACCAAGCAAACCACTTTCAAATGGTGCTTTTTCATACAGTGTCATCATTATACACATTAAATTCACTAGTTTCGTGGTCCGCTTGACTTAATTAATATCTTTCAATTAATTAAGGTTTTTAGTTGAGATAAAAAAGTCAGTGTCACAAGCGGGATTCGAACCCACGATCTTCAGGTAGATACGCCGCATTTCTACCACGAGCTATCGTGACCTCACACTCAAGTGGTAGAGCAGCGGCGTATCTAGCTGAAGATCGTGGGTTTGAATCCCGCTCGTGATACTGACTTTTTTTATCTCAACTAAAAACTTTAATTAATTAGAAAATTATACACATTACAACTTTTCCTATCAGTCTGAGCTTCTGTTTTCCTTTTAACATTTGAGGAACCCACATATCGCTCGTACAAACATATCCAGCTTTTCTCAGATGTTTTGAATCTCTCGTATGATATATGTTAAATGTCTCTTTAATGTTTTGTGACACTGAATTTGGGTCATTTATGATAAAAGCTTGAATTCAGACAACCGAAGCGCTTTGCATCTTACTTATCAAAATTTCTGCTACTGTACCGAGCCACATCACAAATTTACTATTAGTCTGGGCTTCGGTTTTCCCTTTGCAGTAATCAATCAAAAAACCATTAAATGACAAAAATGCATTACTTTTTTCTCTGTTTTAATTTAGCATTACAATCTAGGCAGGGATAGCCCCAATAAACTCTTGTGAGTGCTTTAATATTTAATACCACTTTGGTAAACCTTCATATAAATGGGTTTGGTGAAAAAAATAGCAAAACAACTTGTAAAATACTGAAAGAATAAAAACATCTTAACTAATCCCTTTTTATAGTGATTGAACAATAATGTCTAAATAAGACGGAGTTGTTAACAATGCATTGCTGCGTTTTCCCTAAGATTTTCTTCAGTAAAGAACCAACTTATCATCCCTGGTTGAGACTTTTAAAAAATGAGTCTTTTATATTGTTTATTTGGAGATCGTGAGATGCAGTCTGGTGTGACATAGGTTTTGAAAAACATTTTCTTTGTTGTGTCAACATTTCGATCTTTACTGAGAGGGTTACTTCAGGGCCTGGGATCTCAATAAAGATCAATTTGTTGGCACGATAAAGAAAATGTTTTTCCAAACGTACGTCAATCAGACTGCATCTCACGACACCCAAATAATCATTAATTAATGGTCACTAAACACCACACTTTTATATTGTGTTTAAGAAAGGCATCACAGATGGATATGCAGTCCAATAAATTCTTCTGTCAACATTTCAAGAATCCGTACAAACATATCCTACTTTTCTCAGATGCTTTGAAACTTTGCTTACTTCAAAACACAAGAGATTAAAATTGAATTATGGAAAAATTTCTATGAACTTATATTACAAGTCAATATTTATCATATAAATCTATTCTGTATTGTATATTATATACATTTATCTTTGAATAATTACGATAATTAAAATTATTATTAGAAATTATGATGATAAACTTACATTGATTGGAAGTAGTTTAATTCAGTAGCTTTTAATAGTTATCCTGTACTGAATACAATTTATAATCTACTGTTTATTTTGAATTTTGTCATTTTTAAAATAAGCTCGTTTGAACACAAAGACAGATAAGAGACTGCACACTAAAAATGTAGAATCTCTGCTATCCCACTCTCACTACTTGCGTAAGGATCGAAAGTACGTGATTCAAATTAAACCCATTTAAAATAAAAAATTCACAACTAATAGTCAATAAAAAGTCGTCGGTTGGGAGAGAGCGTGACGACAGTTTTCACAAAATCTCTGGACCAGTGAAAATTAATTGTGGAGAGGAATCTCACAAATGGAAGCTCCCCTTTTGTGAATAATAAGAACAATTACCTTAATTGTGAAGTGGGCGATAACAGGCAGGTCAATTTTTAACAATCTATCTCAACCAGGAATTATTAAATTATCAAATCGGTCATCCCCTGCTTCGCCTCTTGTTGATTAATGCGACTGGAAACGGATTTTCTTCAAAAACTCTTCGACGGCCGTTCTTAAAAAAGCATTACAAAATCCCCCTATCCGGAGAAAAATAAAATGGAAATAACGAAACTGTACTAATGTTTATTGTACTCCGACACAGATTCACAGCTGAACCTGAACGTCGAACACTAGCACGGCCTTTTAGATAGTTCCACAACATGACGTTAGGTAATATGTCCTGAGAGATATCAGGACTGATCAGGCGCCGAAGACATAATGGTAAAAAATTCATAGATTCATTAACTTTCTATTTATTTCCATAGAATATTGCGTATTTTTGTCAAACAAATCTATCAATTTTATGTATTTATAAAATTTTAAAAATTTACAGTCAGATTTAAGAGCTATCATCCTCTTTCATGTAGTTACAGTACACTACTTAGTCCATTTTATTACTTGCTCTAAGTTGCAGCTGATTTTTTTTTCCAATTATGTAATACATATAAAACATTTTTCTCCTGTAATACTTAATAATATGATTATTTGGATATCGTGAGATGCGGTTTCTGGGCCAATGTTTCGATCTTTATTTAGATCATCTTCAGAGCCTGTGATTTACAAACATTGTTTACATTATACAAATATATGTAAGATGTAAAAATGGATTTATACAATGATGTACACAATATAGAAATTTTAGGTTTATTCAAAGTATTTGTGTGTTCTGTGTAGAAGTGTCATGGTTGTTTGTCGTGTTGCAAGTGTTAGTAAGATATAAATGTTGAAGATGATCTAAATAAAGATTGAAATGTTGGCACAATAAAGAAAATGTTTTTCCAAACCTACATTACACAAGATCGCATCTCATGATCTCTAAATAATCATTAACTAACTGTCGGTAAATATTACACACTTAATAATATGTTTGGTGTTTGCGACTTTTCTGTTAAGTGTACAATCTGAATATTACTGTAAATTAATCCATGTTTAGCGGTCATAATTGACCATATTAATTTTTTTAATCTAAAATCTTAATTTAGATGAAACAGGTGGTCATGGTAGCTCAAGTGAAAGCAGCAGCGTATTGAGCCGAAGGTGGTGGGTTCGAATCCAGCTCATAACACATTTTTAATTTTTCATCCGAACCAAGACCTTGAAAATTACCGTATGTATATTTTTTTAAAGGTACAAATAGGACTTTAAGCCCACTTACATATCTTAGAAATAAATATAGTCATGATTTTTATGAAACCACATTAAGAAAGAGAAGATAAAAGGAAAAGGAAACTGTGACAAGAAAATAGAGAGGGAAGAAAAAGAGATGATTAATGTCATTTTGAAAAACTCATATAATATGGACCTGAAACAAGCCAGCAAGGAGCAGAAGAAGCAGAATGTACTCCCCGGGGAAGCAAATTCCATAGTCTTGCCCATTCTAAAGTATAAGTATTAGAGGAGCATTTAAAGGCTTGGAATACGATTGGCATTGGATAAGGAATGGGGGAAAAACGTTGACAGATATTGAGGGAACTTATTTGATTTAATTTTAAATTTGTATATTTAGACTAATACCTACAGCACAAAAAGACTAAAAACCTACAACAAATAAGTATGCAAAACAAAATTAGCCTCTGCTAAGTCCCAGGACATGTAGGAGTAGAAGACAATGAGAAAGCGGATGCCCTTGCAAGAAGAGGGGCTGATAGGACCCGAGCTCTTCAGGGGCATAGGAATGCACACTATTAATGATCACCTCAGACAGAAGGATAAAAAGAAAATGAGAGAACAATGGAATTCACTCATTGGACACAAACAATCCAAGAATCTCCTAACAAATTTCGGAAGGAAAGAAGTGACAGAATGTATCAAAGGAAGCAGAAAAAACTGTGAATCCTGAAAGAATTGTTAACAGGACACTGCAAACTAAATGGACATCTGAAGAAGATTAGCAAACCCAACATAGTACATGCAGATTCTGCAAAGAAGCAGAGGAGACACCAACACACCTACTAACAAACTCTGATGCTACACTTGCCCACAGGGGGAAGTGTTTTGGGACATACAACATAAGAGTAAAACAGATTCAACCATTGAAACTGAGCCTACTAATCAAGTTCTTTGATGAACTAGGACGTGCCAGTGTGCTTTAAGAATAGCAAGAGGGATACAATAGCACTTAAAGCACCCCGATTAATATTTAACTATCTACCAATAATGGGTTCTTGCACTGCATGAAGATATTTTTAATAATTTTTGATCTTGAGTTGAATTGAATAAGATCTACCACCTTTATCAGAGGCTAGGGTTTAAAAATGCAAATGATTATAGATAATACATAAACAAATTATATAATTCAGTTTTACAGTCTATGTTAGTGCTATTTTGTACTATTGTACTGTTATTTATTTGGTTGAAGCTTATTGATGTTGTATAAGAAACTATGATGTTTTGTGAAGTTTTTTATGGTTTGTATTTAAACCAATTTTTTAAAATAAACTTTAAATAATGTCAGCCCATTTCTTTCATATACAACATCTTTAAGAAATGTATATTCAAAAGTTTCCATAGTCTTGCTGTTTGGTTTTCCTTGTATAACCCTTGCTTTAGTTGAGCCAGTGGTTGTATAGCAGCGCGTAAGTACAAGAGGAAAAAATCTCAAAATATACAAAATCTCTGAAATTAGTGAATTCTAATGATTTTAAGAAAAGTTAAATGATTTGCTATTGTATTGACAATTTGAAAAAAGTTTGACTCTCATGGACCAAGGTCATTAATCTATTACTGATAAGTGATAACAAGCAACTAGTGTGTGACAAATGTGAAGTGCCCCGTATTTTCTTTTCCTTTTATTTATCTTATTTGGTGCAAATTATCTGAATTCGACGGTATTTCGTCTTTGCCGGGGCCATGATTTTACTGAACGTTGCCAAAATGACTTTAAAACAGCCTAAACACCCCATGCCAAAGTACCTGATATATGAGAGATAACCAACAATTCTTATTACCAATAAAATGTTACGAAATATATTTTAATATGTTAGGCAATGTAGCTATTCGCAGTGTATTTAAAAAATTTATCAAATAGACTGTTAAGTCCATAATGACACTTGTTCATTTTTGGAAAGGCGGCTCAAAATTAAAAATAATAAATGAAGAAGACCTGCCAAAAAGTTTTAAAAAGATTGTTAATTTGGGAAATCAACTGTTTTTGCTAGATAACAGAAATCGCATTTGGTTAGGCACAATAACGAGTAATGAGATCGCATTTACAAAGAGTAAAGTTAATGCAGTCGATATAGCTGCGACTCCGCATAGCTTTTATTATGTCAGTGAGTCTGGAAAGGTGTTCAAGACTAATTCAGATGTGGAGAGTTCAGTTGAGATAATACTCCATGAGGAAGCTACCTGTTGTGTCCACGGCTATGCTACTTCCAGTCATAAAACGCTTGTTTCGAAAATTGCAGCTGGTGGTATGGGTGTGTTGTTTATTTCTGATACCGGTGAGCTTTGGGCTTGTGGAGAGCATCCCCAGTTAGGTATAACTGCTGCCGAACAGCCAAAAAAAATATGCTTTTTCGAAGGGAAACATATAACAGGAGTGGGGTGCGGTGAAGATTTCAATATTGTAGTAGCTCATAAAAGAGATGAAATTTGTCCTGTCATCAACGAAAATGGAGAAGTAGAAGTATTTTTATCGAATTGTCCGCAATGTGCTAATGAAGCTATGTCACCTCTTTCGCCCCAATCTTATTCTGAAAGCTGCCCGCTTGGATTGCAGTTAGGAAGATCAAATGAGTCCTTGAGTGTTTCAACATCTACAAGTAAAAACAGTGGGAGTGGTGATAACAAGAAAAGCAATGATAATACTTCTTCTTGTACTGAAGAAGACTCCCCGCATATATCTGACAACATAGAATGTAGTCTACCGAACCTCGAAGACAGAGACAGAGCAGAATATGAAAAGGAAACGAGAGGTAGCAATATACTCTTGATAAACACAGAAGCTGCAAGACAGTTTTTGACCAGGCAGCTCTCCTGGGTGTCAACAGGTGGAGAAGAACTTTTGGCCGAAGTTACTGGCCCAACAAAAATGATAAGACGAAATGTAAGCACTGTTGCAAGCCTCGTCTACGAAAGAGTGAAGACTGTTGGTGATAAAGTCGCTACACTTTCAAGACATGTGAGTGGAGGTTCAGACAACAACAGTGAGTCTTTTGAAGAATTTGAAGAGTTGACTAAGTCAAATGCTAGTCTAAACAGAAATTTTCGGTAAGAAAAATTACAATCTATTATGTATTATTCAATCAAACTTTGATATCTTAAAAATCAATAACACCAATGTTTTTAACAGTCGAGACCATAGTATGTTTTAAATACTTAGTGAAATTCTGGGATTGTTAATTTGTGCTGCATAAAGCATAACCATTAGCTAGATTTGTGCTAATAAATACATGCACTCTCACAAAAACTTTAATCCAAAACATTGCACACACAAATAAATTATGTGCAATGGAACTCAACATTTCTTCCAAAAAGCAGAACAGGGTACCCAGCGAGCATGCCCAAGAACAATGGCATGACCTTCTATTTTATAAGTGTCACATCTTTTCATTTATTCAAATTAATACATTCCTTCACACAAGTCATTTAACACAAAAATATTGATTAACATTAATATTTCAAAATGAGGAACAGGAGACCTCAAAATTCACTTCTATGGTAAATTTCATATTGCGTAACATGTCTACTCACTCTATTGGAGAAAAGGAATAATGTCCTTTTATTACATGGGACACATTGAGTATCTTTTATCTTCGTAAGCATAGCAGGCTTAGGCCCAAATATCGCTCAACTATGTACTGAGTTTGGTGAGAATAATTCCACTTCTCTGATTAAAGTTCTCTGAAGGTCCAAGAAGGTATGAATTAGCCATTGTAAGCCAATAGTTTCTCTGCCGGTCCAGCCTAACAATGTTGGTATCTTTGTTTATCATATTTTTTGGTTGTTTTTTTAACATCAGCAAGCTAGATCACAGCAATAAGGTCAGAAGGTTGAGACATCCTTTTCTTCTAGGTCAATTAGGATTTTAATGAACTTATCATTTGTTTAAAGTTTAAAGTTCAAACACTTTTGACAATTTTTCTTGATATTAAACCCTTTAAACAAGACAAATTTTCTAAAACTAACATTATTTAACATTGATATGATGACAATGTTCTAGATATTATATAAAATTTATTAATTAAATAACGTCTGACTTAGTTACTTTTTTAATTGACTTTTATTACAGATGGGATTGGTCATATAGTGATGGCTCTGAAGAAGCAATTGCTGAAAGGAATGGAAATTGTATTAATAAAGGTTCCCATTTGATTCGGGGAGAGGTATGGGCTTGGGGCAGCTCACAATATGGACAGCTTGGCATTGGTGATGAAATAAGAAGGCATAAGTAAGTCATTCTGTTTTTTGTGAGGCTAAAATTTTAGACATTTTTGTTTGATCATTCACAGTTTTGCTTGTTTTATTTAATATCTTTTTACACCTTTCCACACATTCTATTACTTAAAAACATTTTTTTTTTTTTTTTGATCAGCATTAGTTCTTTTATTACCACCCGTAAAATTATTTACAGACCTGTTTTGGTTGGCTCTGTTTCTCACATTGGCGTGACTGGCGTCTGGTGTGGTAAAAAACACTGTATAATACAGACTCTTGATGGCCGAGTTTTTGGTTGGGGTTCTAATGAACAAGGACAACTTTCCTATGATTCAAAAATTGTTACTCAGAGTTCTCCAATGTTGTGTGAAAAAGCATTGGCTGTTGCAGTCGGTGATTACCACTCAGTGATATTGACAAGAAATGAAGTGCTCTTATGGTTGTCACAACCAAAGTAAGCAAATTATGCATTTACAATGTACGTAATTCATTTAGCCGAGTCATTTTCCAATAAATTTCATTTTCAATTTCAGGCAGAATCCGATTATTGATAATGGTTTTGACTTTATTAATGAAAATAAAAATCCCCAGATCATTATCCTTTCAACCAGCGATATTACATGTTTCGTCTTAACTGATATTACGAGAGAAGCTACATTAGAGACAGATTTGGCGCATGTTCAAAGCTTTCTTGAAGAATTGCTCACTGTCCATAACACAATAGTTAAACCTCTTTCTAGAAGATCCTCGTTAGAAGACACTATATCCAATTTGTGCTTCAGATATAATGACGTCCTTCATCTGACAGCTGTCATCGTTTCCAACCTTTTAGAAGGTCGATCAAGCTGCGAAGTTTTATCAGAAATCCAAGATGACCTCATTTATATATATGAGGCATACCTCACCACTGTTTGTGATGTTATTGCCATTAATGGCTTTGCACAAATTACAAGAGCAGTTGATACACCACTTAAAATCACAGCTTGCTTCTCTGATAGGCTCCCGACAAGAAAAACTTCTTCAGAATCAATAATAACTTGCGCCTTTTCACAACCTCTTTCACATATTTCAATTTACAAGGTGAGACAAAATTGTTCTTCTTGATAATTTATTACCTTATCATTAGTGCTGATAGTGTCCTTATCTAATATAGTGAGGTTTGTTTCACTTTATGAAAATTTTCAGTTAGCCCACTTTCAAATTGAGTAAGTCACTTTTTAGACCAGTAAAACAATATTTAGCTATTCCATAAATGTGTAATCTTGACATAACTTAAAAAAAAAGATTCAATAACAACAAATAAATAAATGCAGTGAACCTATTAGGATTGTAAAAATTTAACAAAAAGATAAATTTCAATAAAAATAAAATTATTTTTATAATAATTTATTGTAGAATGTATATCTTTGTCGTATTAAAAAAAATCTTTGTCATAATGTTAAGTGTTACCAATAATTTTCAACTACTTGTAAAATTAGTTATTATGTAATTTAATTTATTCTTTAATTTCAAACATTAGGGCATGATTTCAAGAGGTGGCGGTGATTGTCGACGGATGGAAAAGCTGCGAGAATCTCAGGAGATGATGAGAAAAGAAGCAGAACTCACAAAAGCTTTTTGGGATAGTGCAGGTGGAAGAATACCCGAAATGCTAAGGTCGGTTATTACAATTTTCAATTAATCTTTTATTTGAACAATAATTACAAACTTTTTTTAACTTTCTTGTATAGAACACCTCAAAGAAGGATAATAAAAGAGTCTCGTTCCAGTCCTTTAACACTGTATAATGCATCACGTTTTTCCTCACATTGGTTTATATTACTATCGGACTCTTTTGTACACATTTCTGGCACTTCCCATCAAATCCACAGCTTGGACACTGTTTGGGTTGAAACCAACAATTTAGATTCAGAGCAAATTCAGGTTTGATATTTGTGTGTCATTAATTTGACATAAGAATTTATTTTTGATTTATGTCTTGCAGAATGTAATTTTATTTGTAACACCAGAAGAATCTTTGACATTAGTTACAACAAACCATACAGAAAAAGTTGATTGGTTACAGGCGTTTCAAACCACAATAAAAACCTTTTTAAATAAACCGGTCATTCCAATCTCCAGAAGTGCTTCGTACACCTTTACCAAACATCCAATGTATAAAGATGCCAAATATACAGGTTGGTAATTTCTTAGTATAAATAATTGTCTAAATAATTTACGTTTCTTGTTATATTAGGAAAATGGCATTTGGGAAAAATGGACGGAAAGGGTAAACTAGAGTGGCCTGACGGAAGAGCGTACACAGGACAATTTCGTAACAATTTATGTCATGGCACTGGAAAAATGGAGATTCCAGATGTTTCTGTGTACGAAGGACAATGGAGAGATGGTTTTCAAAATGGTTATGGAATAACTAAGTATGTGAGATAAAATAAATCAATAAACTGCAATGCAAACTCTTTTTAGCAAGACTTGTTTTACTTCTAGGTATGAAAATGGGGATGTTTACATAGGTTACTATAAAGATGGTTTTGAAAATGGTCATGGAGTAAGAAAGACTGGAAGATTTACTTCATCCCAAGCATCAGTATATGTGGGAGAATGGCTGATTGGACAAAAGCATGGTTATGGGGTCTTAAACAATATCTGCACAGGTAGACTTGAATTTTGTTAATTGATCTTTGTGAATCTTTAGTAATTTAATGGTTTTTTTTTATGTAATCAGGAGAAAAATATATGGGACTTTGGACTGGAAATTTAAAAAATGGCTCTGGATTAAGTGTGACCTTAGACGGCATTTATTATGAAGGAACTTTCGTTCAAGATGTGCTCACTGTAAGAAAATTAGCTTTTTTCTTTCTCATTTAGAATTTAATTGAATATTTTACATTCTAACCAAGGGGCGAGGTGTGATGGTTTTTGAAGATGGCACCCATTATGAAGGCGAGTTGCGCGAAGCTGGTGTTTTCAGTGGGAAAGGAACCTTAACGTTTAGTTCCGGTGATACTTTTGAAGGCAGCCTTCATGGTACTTGGAATGACGGTGTGAAAATATCTGGAACTCTTCATAAACATCTTGCTTCGACTTCGCCCAGACATTCTTTTTCGAAACCAGTGTTTGTACCAATTTAGTGTAAAACACTCAAAAAAGTTTACTGTTAGTTAATATTCATTTTATCGTTATCAGATCATTTGGGCTGTTGTGTGTACCTGCAGAACAAAAGTGGAAATCGATTTTCCGTCAATGTTGGTCATCATTGGGCGTTTCTGGAGAAGGAAAACCTAATGAAACTCATCAAGCCTGGCAGAATATTGCAACAATTTTAGGAAGCAGGCATGGTGCAAAACATCACGAACTTCTCCAAGTAATACTTACTTGTGGAAGGACAGATCTCAATTTGGCAGATTATAAACAGATTATTGCATATTTACAACTGGTACTTACAAAATTGTTTTGTAATTTTTATTAAATAATTCAATTCTTATTTATTTCAAGGCATTTGAAAATAATTATCATCCCCTGGGAAGAGCACTTGCTGAATTAATAGAAGCATATATAACTACTTATGGTGGGATGCTCGTCCATCCTCTCCTTCTTCCACAAGCCGTAGCTGAACTTCGCTCTATCACTCAGAGGCTGTATCAAGTTGTACGAGTTTTATTTCCGGCCTTGCCTTATCAGTCTTCACAGATTGTTTTAGGAGATGAACACCAGTTAGTATAACAATTTTTATTTTTATTTTTATTTTTTAATACGTTTATATTTTTATTTTTAGTGAAGTTGCTTCAATGAGTGGTCTCCTTTATCCCTTAATTTTACCAAAGCTTTATTCTTCACTACTTTTCCTCTATTCCCTTCACAATCGAAAAGAAAATGACGCTTATTGGAAAAGGCTGTTGAAATGGAATAGACAACCTGACATAACATTAATGGCATTTTTAGGTGTTGACAAGTATGTATATTTTCTTTGTATGTTCCTTTGGTATTTTTTAGTATAATTAAAAAATAATAATAATAATAATTTCAGAAAATTCTGGCAAAAGGGAGATGGAACACCTTTGGAAGAAGGACTTTTTGTCAACGCTGTAGAATCTCTACAGCAACTGAAAACAACGTTCTCTCCAATGGAAAAATTAATCGTTATCCATACTACATTTAAGGAAATAACAAAGGTGTGAAATTTTTAGAAATTTTGCCCTATATGTAATTAAAAAAATAAAAATGTTTTAGGCTGTTCAAGGCAAATTGGGAGAAACGTTTACATGGCAAATGGATGATCTCTTCCCTGTCTTTCATTATGTTGTAGTTCGTTCGCATATTCAGGAACTTGGATCGGAAATACTTTTCATCGAGGATTTTATAGAGGATAGGTTTAAAAATGGAGAAATGGATATTATGTTCACAACTCTAAAGGTAAGGTATTATATTGTGTTTCTTCAAAAATAAAATAATTAAAGTATAATAAGAAAATTGCATGTCAACATTATGAGCCTTTATTTATTTTTCCACTTATGTATGTTGATGTGGTATGCAAATAATAACTAAATTTATTGTTGTTCCTATTTTTATTTTTATCTTTACAGGCTTGTTACTTTCAAATTTTGCAAGAAAAAATTAACATAAATATCTAGTTCATGAAATGGATTCTTTTTATGTACCAAAACCAAATTTCTCTTTATTGTTTTAAAAACTGCAGAGTGGATATGAAATTATTTTTTATGTGATAAAATGTGATTAAAAATTGTTACTTTAAAATTTTTATTACCATTCATATTATTACTGAGGTGATGAAATGATGTTTACCATTAATACCAAAAATTAAAATTTAAAAATTAAGGTTGTATTTTGTAAAAAGTCTAAATTGTATTGTAGAGAGCTTTAGTAAATAGATAAATAATGCTAAGTAGCCAATTAATGAGTTTGGCCTATGGATTTTACTCATTAACTACAATAGTATTGTGATTATTTCATTCCTTTACCATTCATTCCTTTAATTATCATTTTATATTATAACACCAAAAGAATTTTAATTATCATTGTTGATTAATGTTTGAGGCGCAAAAAGACTAGTCAAATTATTTATACTATTCCTGTTTGTTAATTTTGTCTCTTATTTTATAATGATTCATTGCTATATTTTTTTAAATGTTGTTAAAAAAAACTATTTGCATTACTGTAAACTACTGTTTTCTCAGGTTTATTATCCCAGGGTTAAGAATATGAACATATCAGATCACTGAGTTGATTTCATTGACTAAAAATCTGAAAAGTGTTTATTTTATGAATAGTTACAGTAAGCAAACCAAGACATCTACATTTAAGTACAAAACTGTTTTAAATAAAGAAAAAACACTAGAATAGTTGTAAATTTGAATGATATTACAAAAGCAAATGGCGATAAGTGTCCATGTTTTGTTATAATGTATATATATAAAAAGATTTCATGTTATGAAAGTGGAAAAAGAAACACTCCTTAAGAAACATTGTAAAATTAATAAAATGCCCATTATTATGATGTTTGAATGTTTTTCTCCCTTCATGATTCAGCCATACCTTAAATGTTAACTTATAAAATCAGTTTAATTACTTTTGATTGTTTTGTTAGAATAATTGTTTGAATATATTTGTATAAATAATTTAGAAAATTAAAATTAACAACTGGCTTTCCGGCCACTTTGAGGAATGTTCTTTATTATGGAAAAATAAATCTCCTGAAATGTTTTCTTTTTTCAAAATTGTATAAATTTAAACAGCTATTGTGACTGGACTTAAAAATTTCTTGATTACTCTCCATCATGTCGTCAAAAAGTCATACAGTATTATAATTAATTATCCATGAATTTTAAATGAAGTATGTAGGTCGATTTATGGGTACAATTCCAGTTTTTGAACACCATTTTGAACATGTGAAATAAGACACATCCGTGCCCTCCCTGTTGACATTCTGAGTTTAGCACTTACGAACCAAAACAAAATATTTAACAAATGAAATATATAACTCTTGCCGCCATTGTGGGTTTTTCAAGACCCAGAGAATGTTTTTTCCCACCTGTCTATTTTTATCTACCCCTCCAATGTCTTCCTTTATTAGGTCTTTCCTGAGTGAGGATTTTTTTTTTCAAAAATAATTTGAACAAAAATATAATTGTTATTGCTCATTTTGTAGATAAAAAGATGCCTAGGTTAACCATTTTTTCCTAGGTCCACTTTTTTTCCAGCTCGTGACTAACTTTTTCATCTCAACCAAGACCTTAGATAAAAATAATAATTAATTAAAATTATAGTTTTTCAAAATTCAAAAATTTCCCCTTACTAAGCACTACTTATATTACTAGAATTTTCCTGCAAATGCAATTAACGGTGTGACATGTCATATCTCTAACAATTTCTGGACAAGCGACGAAGCCCTACATAGAACCAACAAGGGACCTGAACGGGTCTTTCCTCAAACAGGCAAACAATTGAGAACAACCAAAATTGACACCGATTCAATCCAGGCCGAAAAACACTGAATTCTATATCTGACTCTTCAAAATTACTTCACAGAAGAAAGTGTTCAGTCTGCATGGCCCTTCTCACATACTCCATCTGATGATTTTTATCTCTCGTAAAAGTTTATAAAGCTTAGTCTTAATCTGCTTATGGAAGCTACCTAAGAGTGTTTGTGTAATTAACTAATTATTAATATCAATAAGTTTGCTAGTACCAAAGTTTAACTAGTTCGATAGTTTATAACTTTATTTTTTATGACTGTCCTTAATAGCCTTAGTTTTCTTACTGATTTCAAATCTCCATCTGTTTCTGCTAATATTAGATTTTTAAATTTTTAGTATATTTTGTTTGGAATTATTATTTTTATTTGAGCATTGGTATTTAATTTCTGAATAATTAGATGAGAAAATTCAAGTTCCGTCATGACGAGCCATTGGTGTTGCTGCAAGTCTGCAACGTCACGGTGTGAACTTCTCATCAGGTTATAAAGCACTTTAGGTTTCATATGACTGGCAGAATAAAGTTTTTAGGCTATCGAAGTGTTCAAGAGCAGAAAAATTTGACTCGTCGCTTTAAAAACTTTCAATTCCTTTTCAAAATCTTCGTGTAGCTTTTGGTTTAAAGTCCGGAACGAAGATGCCGAGCTTAGAAGTGGTGACGAACAAAGTCGTCGTCCATCCGTTGGTACTCCTAAGCGTCGTCGACCACTTTAATCGTATGGGGAAGATCGGAAATCAAAAAAGGGTGGTCGGCGTACTGCTAGGCTGCTGGAAGCCAAAAGGGGTTCTAGATGTATCCAACAGTTTTGCAGGTACCATCGGCTCTTAAACCCATTAGAAATTTTTTGTTTTAATATATATTTTCATATCCTTCAGTGCCTTTTGATGAGGACGACAAAGACAAATCTGTGTGGTTCTTGGATCATGACTACCTCGAGAATATGTATGGGATGTTCAAGAAAGTAAATGGTAATAGTCTTCCTTTTATGTAGTATTCTTGATAAAAGTTAATTCCAGACCGCATCTCACAATCTCTAAATAACCGTTAAGTTAATTGTTAATACAAACGTATACCTATAGTCATATAAGCTTCCAGGACCTGCCCAATTTTCGTTTACATGCAAATTAACAAAGGCCTCTTAGCTCTAGTCATATCCATATCTTGAATGATACTAGGGTGGTCGTTTGTTGTTTGCATCAAACTACATGAATTTTTATCTGTATGTGTGATAATCAGGTATTAGGTCACAGAAATATAGAAACTCCCAACTTTATGACAAGCTTTCATTTAATTTGTAAATAGCTTTAGAGCTGAGTTAGTTTACAATTTCTTTATCAGTTACGTATGTAGATGTTTATAAATCCTTGGTAATAAATAAATAACAAAATACCTATTTATTTTATATTTTATTTACTAATACGTGAGTATCACACATACGATTCTACATAAGGTCGATCCATCAATTAACAATTAATTTTTATCATTATATTAATTACAACACACTTGTTTTAATGTACCAAATTAAATTTATTCCTCAACAAGAGAAGTTTGAAGGTGTTAAACGCTTGTTAGAAGCAGCGAACGATGTCTAACCCTTCTACGGGATTCATATCAGGAGAGCGCTGGTCAATTCATTGTGATAATCCCTACGTCCAGCAATTAATGGGCGACAACTCAAGCTACATCGAACAAGCATTATTATGCATTAATACGAAGTTATCCTTAATAAATGGGGCGAATGGGACCATAGTTTTCAGAAGTCCCTCGATGTACCTAAATGCAGCCAAAGATCCATTCTATATATAATCAGTTCGATAAGGGCATGGACGTTGATTCCACACCATAACTATCTTTGATATGGCCGCGTGGCACATGAAGCAAAGTGTTATCCATGACTTCTTCACACATGGTCCTGATCGTATGATTGCCACAAAATTAACTGGCACCCAATTGTTCAAGTGACCAAGTGAGTGACCAGTAGAAGAGAACCTGATGCAGGACTATAGAGACTAAGCTGTTCTAACAAAGCCTTCTTATGACTTTTTTAGAGCTCACCATTACCAACTGTTTGATGTTGACTATCAACGAAGCCATTAAATGACGGTTCCTTAGTGCAGTAAGAGCAATAAAACAATTGTCTGTAGCCATTTTACATCATGATTGACCACTACATTCTTTAGACTGAGACTTTTGGTAGCCCTAAACTGCAGAATTTATGAATTGAATAGAAATGAATTCATATTTTTAGCCGTTCAGTTTGGTCTTGCAATTCAAAACCATCTCTGAAATGTGTTTCTATGATCCAATATAATCACAGCTTTTTTAAAGGTGTTTTTCAGGGGCAAAAAACCATTTGATATATGGCAATAGATTTAGCGTCATTAAAATGATGTCGAGTGGTTGTATGTTCCTGAAAAACATTAAAAAAGATCTTCAAATAAGCCAACAACCAGGAAGGAAAAAGAGGAGAATAATATGATAGCGGTCCTTATTTTTGTAGGCTGGTCTTGATGGATGAATTTGTATTTTTTTTAGTTTGTATTAGACTCGATTTTATGTTTTATTTTGTTTACTTTCAGCTAGGGAAAAGGTTGTTGGTTGGTATCATACGGGACCGAAACTTCATCAAAATGATGTTGCGATAAACGAATTGATCAGAAGATACTGCCCCAATTCAATTCTTGTCATAATAGATGCTAAGCCTAAAGACCTTGGCCTGCCTACTGAAGCCTACCGTGCAGTTGAGGAGGTTCACGATGTAAGTAAAACACTAATAAATGAATTAGTTAGTAAAATGTTATCGTTAATAAAATTGTTTTCAAATTGATAAAGGATGGCTCACCCACTACAAAAACATTTGAACATGTGCCAAGTGAAATAGGAGCGGAAGAGGCTGAAGAAGTCGGAGTTGAACACCTTCTTAGAGACATTAAAGACACTACAGTTGGAACGTTATCACAAAGAGTTACAAATCAACTTCTTGGGCTTAAAGGTCTCAGCCAGCAAATACAAGATATTAAAGATTATTTACTCCAGGTAATGTATCACTACATAAATGTTAGAATAGAAAATAAAACACGTTATTGATTACAGGTTGTCGATGGGAAACTTCCAATTAATCACCAGATAATTTACCAACTACAAGACATTTTTAATCTCCTTCCTGATATCGGCCATGGGAATTTTGTCGATTCCCTCTATGTTAAGACTAATGACCAAATGCTTGTTGTTTATCTCGCTGCACTCGTCCGATCTATTGTTGCTCTCCATAACCTTATCAATAACAAGCTTAGTAATAGAGATGCAGAAAAGAAAGAAGGGAAAAAGGAAGAAGTCAAAAAAGAGGAAGAACCTGTCAAGAAAGAAGTCAAAGCAAAGTAGATTTCAACAAAAAAATTTGTTTATATTTTTTTAAACTTACTTCTGTATTTTGAAAGAATTAAAACTGTACATAAACATTTCTTATTTATAAGTCTTGTTCGTATCCCATTTTATTAATTTTTTTCTCCAAAATCTGATAATAGTCCTCTAAATTTAAAGGCAAGACTTAAAATGTAACAAGGGGATAATTAATTACATGTTCAATTAATAAATAAAATGCTTTTTTTATAAGCATCAGTTTTGTTTAGTATTCCTTATAAATATTTTTGCTATACAGTAGTAAATCATTGCGACCAATTTTTAAAATTTGCATCAAATATTGGTGTTATAATAAAACTTATGACATTTATCACACTCATATGCAGAATAATTAGATGACAAACATAATATTTAAAATGAACAAGATTTAAACAATATTTTACACATTCGCTCGATTTCAAAAATACAAAATATGTACAATATAAAATTCTAGATACCAGTTTTCTCTTTAAATTAATTTTTAGGTTCATAGTAGTATATAAAAATTAACTATTAATTTATCAATGAAATGCATTACAATCAAAAATATAGTTCTCTAGGTTTTTCAGGTTTAAGTATTTACATTTTGATACAAAATGAAGTAGAATATTTTCTAATCATAATTGTTTAAAAGTATATATATTTTTTCTGTATATAAACTATTCTTTTAGTTTGAACTACATAAAAATTAAGTTACAACAGTAGAGAAATCTATATCCATTTCTTCCCAAACATCAACAGATTGGTTCTGTACATTCGTATTTTGAGAACTGCCTTTCGGTTGAACTGGTTGTTTAGATCCTAAATTATTTTCAAATAAAAATAATAAAATAAAATAATAAACAAACAAGGTGTAAAAAATACCTTTATCTTCCTTTTTAATAATCTTGTTCCCTAGCACCATTTGACTTTCGTCGAAATAATAATTAGGGTGGTTCACGACTATTTCCTCTGAATTGTGTGCGTGTTTGAAATACGAACTGCAAGCCAGTTGATAATGGCCTTTTTTAGCCAAGTTCACAATCTCTTCCACACCTTGAGAACAAAAAAAAATTTTTTTCTAACCAAACAATTTAAGAGTTTGATCTTACCCATGAAATTAATTCCATTCTTTTCTACAATTTTCTTCAAAGCCGTGGGCTCTAAGTGCTTAAAAGGACAGCCATGAAACTCTCCAGAACTGACGCTCCCGTTGATTATCTGCATGCAGTTCAGAGGGGAGTAGTTTGCCCTTTTACCCTCTTTGCCATAACTGTGTCTGATAAAATACGCATATGATTTTTCAAACTGAAAATCAATACTGAATGATTAACAAATAAAAAGTATGTTATATTATTAAAACTCAACCAACCTTTTCAGCATCCATTTTCTTTGTGAACTCCGTTCTCCAAAACTTGTGCACATCATCCATAGTCACGCCTATCCCTTTTAAAAATAAAATATACTGCCTCCTAGCATAATGTTTAAGGTGATGTTCAGTCCTAATTCTCTCGTGCAAACGTTGCATGCAGAGAGGAAATGAAATTTTAGAAAGCTAAAAGGCAAGTAAAAACATTTTAGGTTTTTCTCAATACTTTTTTTAAAATATGTGATAATTACAGCATCAAGATTTCCAATTTGTATTTTCTCTTTCTTTTCAAAAACGCTGTAATTGACTTCTCGTTCAGTTTTTCCTGCTCCTTTTATAATCCCTTGTATCCTCGAATCTTCACACAGATTGTGAATCCTTCTGCTTGCATACTAAGACAATGAATTTATTAATATAAATTTATAAAAATTTAAATTATATAAAATTCATACTGCAAGACTCTGCGCTAGATTTGATCTAAATGATGATGTTACGACGGATATAATATCTTCATGTGTAATGTAGGCGATTCCTTTGGACAAGAATACTTTCCTCATTCTCACTAGATCAGATACAAATATGAAATTGACTTTAAAATAATCAATAGAAAAAGTAACCATCCCATCTGATAGTTTGACTAGCTCTTTTTTTTCTTCTTCTTCAACCTGTGTTGCAGATAAATATGAACATTTCTGTATTCTATCAGGTTAATAAGAGTTTAAAATAAAACCTTTACCATTTCATAATTTAAATTATTGATTTTTAGAAATTCATTACGACTGTTTGAATTTAAGTGCATCCATCGCAACTTAAATAGATCGACTTCTTTAGAGATGAACCAACGCCTTTTATCTTCAGTTTCACAGTAGGCGAGGCGGAGTATGAAATGGGAAATATGATCACGTCTTCTCTGGCTAAAATCTGCTTCAGCACTTCCAAGTGAAGTCGAAGTTATCTAAAAATAAACTACTTTTATATAAACTCTTCTAAAGTGAAAAATAAAAAAGTACCAGTTTGCAGAATGCTCTCAATCCTTGTTTTTTGAGGTCATCTGTTATTGCTTTTCGCCATTCATCCCCTTTAAGTCCCCTTGACGACACTTCATCAATGGTTTGAAGAACTGTTGCAAAGTAAATAAGTAAAACCCCTGTATATTACTGTATTATTTAAATCTGTATAATTTAATAATGCAATTAAATTTATTTAATATGTAACAGGAACAAATACAATGTTCTTTTAACAAAAGGACATGACTTCCAACATTTTAGAAATCGTGGGATGTATTGGGAAGGATAAATGAGGACATTCTTGCAATAAATTGTTGGGATGATTTAGAAAAGATACGATATACGATAGGGGGAAAAGATACGATAGGGGTGGAGCAACACCCCTGGCAGGAGGCACGTGAGGAGATTCATAAAAGGGACATCCACAAGACTAATAAAGGAATTACTGGAAGGTAACTGCAAAAGTAGGATTCTTAGTTGTACTCTATGTAAGAAGGCACATGCACCGGATAGTAGAACTGACAAAAGGTATACTGTGCAGGTAAGAAGAGGAAACTGCAGAATACTTTCTTTTTGTGATGGTCTATGTAGACATACATTATTGCAACTAGGAGAGGTAAAGCTACAAGCAAGATCCTACACTAAGAAGCCACTGGGAAGGCAGTGTAGGGTGAAACTACCTGAAGCTAGCCGTGAGTTATAAAAAATATTGGAAGCACAATACATCCGTCTCATTTTCTAATTTTATCATTTGAAACTGTTCCACTCAGAAGTTCAAATAAATGCAAATACTTCAGTGTTTTTCTATGCTCGATTGTATAATAAATTGTATAAAGCAACAGGTGAAGTATTACTTATAAATATATGGGAAATATACCAGCCAGTCGTTCGGCAGCGCTTTGTTCCAATTCGGCAAACGTGACTTCAAAAATAGGTGGAAGTTCGTACAAAGAGAGGTCATGGGGATATAATTCGCTGATCTCTTTATCGACGGGTTTAATAATACTTTTACGAGATACGACACGGCGAAAATCCATTACGACCGACTGTCCTAAACAACAAACTCAAAAGTCGAACCTTAACACTGCCGGCTGCTGTGTAGGATTCCCGCCAAATGCCGCGAAGTGTTACGGAATAGGCATGCGCGGTCTGATAGGTAAAGGTAACAGGACACTAGGAAGTAGGAACATAGTGCTTTTAATTTGGTCTGGGGTGCACATCGGATACATTATTTTTTTTATTGTTTAAAAAATATATAAATTCGGTAATGTAATCAAATTCAAGAAATGTTTTCAATTGTATGTTTCAGCCCAAACTGAACAAACAAATGAAGAAAGAATTTTTCTCACAGACTTAATTTACAAACTGGAGGGGCTTGAGATCAATAGAACTTTTCTACAACTCTTGAAATCATATCTCTCTGGCAGGGGTTTTAAAATGAAGGTTGATCTGTATTGTAATTCCTATCTAGCGCTTAGCGGAGTTCCGCAAGGATTGGTTTTGAGTCAAATTCTATTCATCCTTTATATCAGTGATTTTTGCAGATGATACGAAGAGATTAATAAATCCCTTGCCTTTACTGAACTACTTAGGGATCCTTAATCTTATCCCTTACCGATACTGTGTTCTCCATTTCACATCATGCAGAAATGCACACTTCCGTCACCTTCATCTGTAATACTTAAAAACATTTCTATTTCTATTTATTAAAGTTTACAAGTCGTATTTAAAGCACCTTCTTCTAAAAAGTCATTAAACTTGTAGAAGGTGGCTTCGATGGCTGCTACGTTTTTTTTAAATTGCATTTACTAACAACTAAACTTGTTTTGTATAATAAAACATTGTATAACTTAATTTATATAAATGTTTGCGTATAAAATTGCTCTAGTTTGTACATTCTCACTTGTACAATATGCATTTGTAATACAATGAATACAATTTTATTTGAAAACCCTCTGAATAATAAGAGGCCAAAAGTTATCAAAACTGATAGGAAATCTACACTTTTATAAGGCAAAGAAATATTTAGCAAGAGTTAGCTAGATTTGCTGAGTTATATTTAACAGTAATTGAGGCTGAAATGCTTGATTCGACAGAATAATTAAAAAAAGAAAGAAAGTGATGTACGAGTCTGCTGTGTGGTTTTATCATATACAGGATATTGGATAAGCTTACTATCGCTAGCGACATCGATTCTCATATCAATGATAACAACTGGAGTGCAGACGTGCAGTCATTGGATCATCATCAATTTGTTGTTTTGTTGATGTTAGAGTTAATTTAGGATGTTACCATTGTCTTATGGTATTGTCAGTCCTGTCGTCCCTGTCAATTGGAATTGATTCTTAAGTACTTAATCAAGCGTTTAAAATGTCACCCGGCTTTTTTCCGGCCGTTTTCCTATGTTGTTTTTTATGTTTCACCGCCGGTGAAAATGATGTTTTCTACACGGGAACGACTACTGGCATTTGGAAGTACATATCAAAAATCAACGAATGCCAGTCAGCCAGAAAAGTCTGCTCTCCGGCCGAAGTGAAAACAGACATTGAAATAGCAGACTGTATACTTTCCTATGTGAGTAAACAAAAGGTTTTTCATTTATAAATTTAAATTTTAGCCCTTAATATTACTTTATCTGTGATCTCAATATAGAAGATTTGTATCTGTAAAATAGTACAAAGAAAGCTATTTTTAGTTTTTGGCATGGTTAAAATTGAATTGACATTGTTTCCTAGCTATACTCCATAAATGCTTCCTACGATCCAAAGAACGGATAATGTTATTACAATTAGTGCAGATTTTGTCTTATTTTGGCTATTGAGGTGTTCTACCAATATGGAAAGAAAGAATGACAAAAATTATGGTTCTAGAATTTAAAAAAAATTAATATGTGTGGTATGTAGTGACCGTTAATTAATGATTATTTAGAGATTGTCAGATGCGGTCTGGTGTGATGTAGGTTTAGAAAAACATTTTGTTTATTGTTTCGATCTTTATTGAGAACATCTTCAAGGCCTGGGATTTATAAACGTTTAAATTATACAAATACATATCAGATATGAAAAAATGAATTTTTATCATTTTTTTTTGTGCACTCTCGACACGACATGCAAGAATGGTACAATTACACAGAAGACAAACACTTTGAGCCCTGAAGATGATCTCAATAAAGATCGAAACGTTGGCACGATAAAGAAAATGTTTTTCTGAAACCTACATCACACCAGACCGCATCTCACGATTTCTAAATAAATATCAATTAACGGTCACTAATCACCACATATTTTATCATTTTATAAATTAATTTTTTTCACATATTACACGTATTTGTATCATTTTTATATAATTCCAATGTTTATAAATCCCAGGCTCTGAAGACGAAATCAATAAAAATTGAAACATTGGCACGTTAAAATGAAGAAGAAAATGTTTTTCTAAACCTATGTACATCACACCAGACTGCATCTCACAATTTTTAAATAATTAAAAATTAATATGATTGAGATGGAATAAAGGAGGGCATGTAAATATGTAAATATTTGCTTTTCAAAATGAATATGACAGTAGTGACTTCCCTTATACTGTAAGACTGGTTTTGGTTGGACTGGACTCTTTAGAAGAAAGAAGAATTTCGGCTTCGGCCTTGTTATTGTTTGAAAATATTTAACAATAGGATTGATTCCCCACAGATCTTGCCTGCATTGGTATTAGAGTCCCCAGTGCTGACTCCGCTTCTGTGAGCTATTCCATTTTCCCAACATAGGACGAATTTTTGGACAACGTTTGGAATATTGTCTATCTCAGATAGTTTGGCACATTAATCGGTATGGACATTCTGTAAACCCTTTCTCAGATTCCTTGTCAGTTTTCAAAAACAAGATTTTATGAGCTTTAAAAGGGTGATTCACGTAGCCTTGTATTTATTTTTTGTGTGTGATTTTTTTCCTTGGCCACAAGATTTATTGTTATCTATTGCAGTTATTATCTAGTTGTAATCTATTCTTTTTATCTAATGTTAAGTTTTTAAATTCTAAATTTTTATGTATGTTTTTGTACTCTTGACTGTTCAGTTTTGCTTCATTTGATCCATAATAAAATGAATAATAATTCTATTAGCTATGACAAGAATAATCAACTTAAATATTGTTTTGTAATCCAGTCCCTATCTTAGAATAAGTTAGGAGTAGTTGTTAAAATAAGTTAAAAACATTCTATATTTTATCTAAAGTAGTACAATCCAAGCTATGGAACTCCATAATAGAGAATCTGTGTTTGAAGAAAATAGTTGTAAGGAATTAATTCTCATCTTCTTTTTTGGTTGATTGCCTTTTTCTTGAGTGAACCAGTTGGTGGAAGAAGTTCACTATTCATAAAGTAGGTGGTTAACATACGGACAGTAACTTTTGGACCAAAGCCTGCGTATGTGTCAGGCATGCAGAGAAAGGTTGCTTGTGTCCCACTTAATTGAAAGTTGAAGGGTGTCATTCCTTGGCTCCATATAATGAATGAGTAGGAGAATGTATTTACATGTGTGAATGTGGGTGTAGTACAATAGCGTCGATGGTGAAATATCAAGCATCCCATCGACCCTCAATTAGACTAGCTATTAAATGTACAGTTGTTTTAAGCCCTTAAGCCTAACTTCGGTGGTGGTACAGATAATCCCAAGGTCTAACATCAGACCATTTAAAAAAAAAAAAATGTTAAGAATTATTATTAATATATATTATTTGATGTATTAATTATGAATTAATTTATTTAATTCCATATTAATTAATTAAATCAATATAATATTCTTAAATGGATCTAATTCTTCAGATCTACTATTTTATGTTGCATTTTTTTTACTCCTATAGCAAAATCTATATACAATGAATAATCAATCAATTTTTTTAGGATATTTCCAATGATCCAAAAGACGTTAGTGTTGATTTGAAATTGATTGATGATTGTCGAATGAAAGTTGGCGAATATATTTCTAATTTGAGATACGGAGAGGTGCTGAAACTCTTTGAACCCGTTTGCCATGATGAATTGAGAATGATTTCATGTGTGAGCCCATTCAACGAAATATTAACAGCAGCGCAGTACTTCAAATGTTTCATGGATAATTTAACTAGTATTAAAAATGTAAATTGTACCAGTATTGTAAACCGTCTGAGCGTTCTTCCATTCTTTCAACCTATGGCGATGAAGCCATATTTTGAAGATTGTGTGAGTGATAAGATAAAATTCAACTGCAACTCTCATGCAGGATCAGAAGTATGTTTCATAAATTTGTATTATTATTTTAAAAAAATATTAAATTAAAATTGTCTATTCAAGGTTCTTTTATGTCTGCAAAATCATATACTAGAATTAAACCAAAAATGTCAGGTGCAAATTTTAAGATTGTCTGAGATTCAAGGCGAAAATATAAAATACGACCGCCGACTTTTTGAGGCCTGCAAAGATGAGAGGCAGCATTTTTGTAAAACCTTTTTAAAAATTGCGCCAGGAAAAATGTATGAATGTCTCCTTAAGCATAGAAATGAAATGGACATGTCTTCACAGGTAGGCTAGCTGTTAAGGTTTAAAAAATAATTACTCAATGTATTTTTGTATATATTTAGTGCCGGAATGAACTTCTTCGCCATGAACAATTAATCGCACAAGATTACCTGGTGAGCAAAGGGTTGGTGAAAGCTTGCAGGGAAGACATAAGAAATAACCATTGTAGGAAGTCAGTGTCTGATGATAAAAATATACGACTTGCACAGATATTACTCTGCCTCGAAAATGCAACCCATTATGGTAATGGTTACAATTATTTATCTTATTTTATTTATAGGTAGACAATAAATAATTCGCATATTATTTATACATGGATTGGACATTGGAAATTTTAATTTATACTTATAAATGTAGAGTATTTAGTAATAAATAATGTAGTAGGTTACAATGAAAGTAGCTTAAATAGAAATGTTAATTAAATTTGGTCCAAAAAAATAAAGCTTAACCCAATTAATTTAGTTTTCATAAACATTCATTTGAAATTATCTTCAGATTCAAATTTGGTTAAAAGTAAATGTAAAGAAGAAATGCTCGCTCACCGAAGGATGTTACTGGAAGATTACAGACTTTCGCCTGAATTGGTCAACCAGTGTTCAAGGGTCATAAGTAAATATTGTTCTCCAACTGAATTTGGTGGGAAGACCATTCACTGTCTCATGGATCAAGCAAAAGTCAGAAGAAAAAATAAAATTTCACCGAATTGCTTAGCCGAGGTAGGTTTCTAGTAAGTGTAGAATTATTTAAATTATATCACTCCAACTTTGTACATTTTAGATTGAAATCTTAATAAAAGAAACTGATGTCGGTGAAGATTGGAAAGCTGACCCGATAATTTGGAAATCTTGCCAAAGTGTTGCTAGTGTCGCCTGCAACAGCTTTATTCGTGATGATGCCAGGTAACTTGTTTATGTAATCACCATGAACAAAAATTACTGTTGCAAAAGTTAAATTTAAAATTTTCCAAGTTATTTTCAAAAAATGAAATAGGGCCAGTCGTTAAATTCCTTGGTGGCATGACTCTGGAATTTGATTGAAAAAAGATTCTTCAGTTTTTGTCTCCCAATGTATGAAACATTTTGCCCTTAAAGAAGATATGCAGGAGGTGTTTGATTTCAACAGCTATAAATTTTCTTTTACCAAAATATCACAATATTGCATACATCACTGTCATTAACAACATTAAACAAAAATATAATTAATTGGTCAAGCGGACCATGAAATTAGTGAATTGAATGGAATTAAACAAAAAGTAAATCATTATTTAATTTCTTTTTCTGACAAATTCCAGGACCATGAATTGCTTAATAGATAAGCTTGGGACTTCTTTGATGACTGAAGAGTGTGAACTATCTCTTCGGCAAGTCCAGTACTTTTTAGCAAGAGATTACAAGCTAGATCCAATGCTTTTTAAAGCGTGCAATGAACAAGCTTCAGAGCTTTGTGGTGCAAATCCAATCTGGGCTCACAACTCAAATAGGAACAGAAATTTTGTTTTGCCTTGTTTGTTTGTTAATTCTGATAAAGTAAGTAAAGTTAGTTTATTTGTGAATATTTCTTTTGGATTTTATTCTTTAATTGATATATGTTTTGATTAGTTGACTCCAATGTGCAGTAATGAGGTGAGGCGAGTGATGCGCCAGAGAGCCCTTAATGTTGACCTTCACCCAAACGTCGAATTAGCATGTATTGACGATTTGGCGAAATTCTGCAGTGAAAAAAGTGCCAAAGGAGAAGAGATCCTTTGTTTACAAGATAACCTAGAGAAGTAAGCAACTTATAGTCTATTATTCAAGAAATGTCTTGATTCTCTTCATGATTGGAATTTTTCAGACTTAAGCCAGAATGTACTGTGTCGATTTACAACTTTACTGAGCTACAGTCACAATTTATTGAGCTGAATCCTATTATTACTACAAACTGCCAAGATGTAGCTAATGAAATTTGCCAGGTATTTTTTTGTTTCTTCCATTTGGCTTTTATATAATAAAAACAGTACATTATTTCAGGACAAAGGGCAAGAACTTTTGGAATGTCTCATAGAGAAAAAGAATGATCCTCTAATGAAACTACACTTGAAGTGTAGGGCTGCTGTTGAACATCAGCAATTAATAAGTCTCAAAGATTATCATTTCACCTATAAATTTAAAGTAGTTATTGTTTTCCTAAAAAATCTTTTTTAAACTGTATTTTTGTTTAATGGTTTCTTTTTTCAGAAAGCCTGTAAATTTCATGTGAATAGGTTCTGTCCAGGACCAAAAGATAAAGCAGAGGTTGTGAAGTGCCTCAGTGAAAAAATCAGAAATGATACATTAATGGGAAGCAAACAGCATATATCTAAAGAATGCCATCAACAGTTAAGATCTCAATTATTACAACAAAGAGAAAATGTAGACCTCAACCCTAAGCTAAAAGCTGATTGTAATAATGATATTAAAACTATTTGTGGCCAAGTTACACATGGCAATGCTAAAGTGAGTTTTATTGTTGTTTAATACTATCATATTTGATTAATTGTTGAATTGAAATTTTGCAGGTTTTGGAATGCCTGATGGCGAAAAAGGTTCATTTGAGTGAATCTTGTAAAAGAAGAATATTTTTGATCGAAAGGCAAGAGCTTACAGATAGCTATTCTGATTACACACTGATACACACGTGTAAAACAATGTTAGATAAATTCTGTCGCAATTTAACCAGCTCTGATCAACCCCTCAATTGCCTAAAAGTAATTAATTATTTGAATTAGTACTGATATGAAAATATGAATTAATGTTGAAAAATAAATCCAATTTTTTTTAGAAATATAAATTTTTTGAAGAATTTGATTACAACTGTAGGGCAATAGTTGTACAGAGGATGATAGAACAATCTACAGACTACAGATTTGATCTTGATCTACAAACTAGTTGTAGAAAAGACATCACTGAATACTGTACTAGCGCCTTGACGCATCATACAGATCGGGACACTACAAAAACGATGGTTATGAAATGTCTTAAGGTAATTTATGATGCTAATATTATTTTTATACCTATTCTTAAGTTTAGAAATAATAAAGATTTTAAAATTTATTTTAGACACAGTTTCGAATGGGTCGTTTGTCGAAACAATGTGAAGCACAGGTTGTAAATTCTTTAAGGGAAGCTGCACTTAATTATAAGTTAAATCCACTTCTTTCAACAGTGTGTTATTCAGAGGTATTTTCTTTAATTTTTTCTTTTTGTTTTAATGTACTCAACTTTATTTTGCAGATTTATATTTATTTTTATCTTTCTATCATTTGTCAATTTTTATTAGAAAATTTTCTATACTTATCCTTTTAGAAAATAACTGTTTTCCATTATTTTTGCTGACTCTGTGGTTGTTTGTGTTGGGTTGTAAGTGATTGAATTGCTGCGCAAAATTCCTCTTTTATAATTTCAATTTATTTGTAGATTCAAACACTGTGTCAGAATGAAAATGATAATTCAAAGATAGACAGAGGCGAGGTTGAAGAATGCCTAAAACAAGCTTTGTACAATGGGCAGATTTCTGATTTTGTCTGTAAACAAGAAATTATTGAGCTCCTCAACGAGGGAAAAGCTGATATTCAGACGGATCCACTTTTATACAAAGCTTGTTTAAAGGATTTACAAACACACTGCCAATCAGTTGAAAAGGGCGCAGGCAGGCGTAAGCGACAACAATTTTTAATGTTAATTATTGTTTTTGGGATATAATAATAATCCACATTTTATTTATTCTGTTAGAATTAGAATGTTTAATTCACATTTTACATGGGGAAGACCTCAATCAGAAGTTACACTGGTCTTGTGAGAAAATGTTGAAGGAAAGAGTTGAAATGTACAAGATCAAGCTCCCAAGAAGAGTTAGTAGTATTTTGACAGTTTTTTAAAATTTTAACACCAAATTAACTTCATATATTTATAGATGGAGAATCTAGGTGAACTGTATGGTCAAGTGTCAACTTCTCCGTCGCGGAAATATTTTATGGTCATTGCTCTGACCTTTATTGGCATGACGTTTATTAGTGGAATGTTCTGTGGGCGTATATTAAGGAGGTCAAGAGCTGTGAAGAACAAATAGATATAAACTCGAAAGACTGGAGGTTTTTTCTTTTTGCAACGATGACCATCTAAGTGAGAAATGTGTATGCTGTCAATTAAGAAAACTGTGCATAGTTGTTTTTGTTTCTTGTGATGTTTATCGAACTAACTAGAAAATTTGTGAATATCATCAACTACTTTTAGGAACAAAATCCAGAATACTTCCACTATATTTATTACCTCTTTTGTGATTGTCCTTTTAATCAATTATGGTGCGATTGAGAAGTTGAGCTTATTTTTTAATTTCATTTAATTTCGATTTTAGTCCTATTTTGAAAAATGCCAAATTATGTAGAGAAAATGTATGATAAGAAATGATATTTTATCAGCAAATAACAATTTGAATGTATTATATTTTTATTAAAATTTATTAAATTACTGATGATATTTAATATTTGTGAGGATGTGTGTGAGATTTTATTGAATATAAAAATGAAAGGAGTGATACATAATAAAAATGAACTTAATAATTAACATGAACAAGTCTTTCAGGTTGTAAATAGATTAAAAAAAGTATAAGAAAAACATGAATTTCCAGAACAATTGAACAATTCTTCTTACANTCTTCTAAAGACAACAGTTTGATTATCATTAGGACTACATAAAAAAGTATATTTTCATGATTAAATATATATATATTAATTATTAAACAATAATGTTTTTCATAGCTTGATCTTTTTATTGGTCCAAGCACTCAAGAGGCAAAATAAGCAACCAATTAAACCAGTGAGTGTTGACTGATCGGAGACGATCATGGTACATAAATTAAATGGCGTTTCATTAATTAATTCGTTAGTAGTCAAATTTTAAAATTTTACATTTCAATTTTATGTCGTGTTTGTTCAAAGTGTTTCTGCAGTTATTAATTTTTTTGGTCACATTTGGGATGTAACTTGAAAAATGGTAAACAACAATTTTTTGTGTAAGATTATTGTGACAAGGAAGGAAGAAAACATTTTAAAGGGGAAATAAGTGTAAGAAATTATCACAAAACTAACTGGAACTGGTGGTAATTTTCACACCAGACATATTCAGAGCAAATTTGAAGCGGAAATTGAATAGAAATAAATAGAAGCTATAATAAGCACGAAAACTAATAATTATAAATTTCTTGTCAGTATTCTGTCACTCAATAATATGTGACTGAAAAATACTGGCATCAATGAATATGAATTTTGAACATGCAAGAATCAGGTGGCAACATTGAATAAGAATAATGTGAAACTAAGTGGATACATTTCTTACCAACAAAGGCCAAAATGAATCGAGGCCAAATTTTGTTTACATTTTTAGCGCCAGAGGGCTTGATCATGGTGGTTAATTCTGGAGGTTGAGACTTCCAGCCTTAGCTGCCTCATCTGCCTTTTAGTCATCTTCCAGGCCTATGTGTCCAGATAACCAGACCACCAGCGTTTCACCGAGACGGTCCAGCTCGTGGTATCTCTCAAACAAAAGTACGAGACTGAGAGAACCTGTCACGGACAGCAGTAACCGTTCTGAGGGAATTGGTGCAGGCCAGGTAAGCAGAACCATCGTCTTGAATCATATCAAGCTTAATTAAATGTAATTATTTATTTTGTATATTTCAAATTATATGATTTTTTGTAGGACTGAAATTTTTCTGTCCTATTTCCTTTCAAAATGAATATGTACTTGTAAAAAAACATTTGACATTCAATCTGTGTATTTAATATTTTTAGAACAAATTATATGGAAAATTTGAGGCAGTGCATAAGTACCGCCCATGGACGGTTTGGTTTTATCCAATATAATATGTTTTTTATCTGATTGGTAATACATCAATGATAATTTATGCATAAATTTGCCAGTAAATTATTTATTTAATTAAGCATATATTAATTCAAAAGATTTTGGTTAGTATTTAGACTAAATTATATTTTTATATTGCATAATTGAGGATTTTTATTGCACGTAAAGCTGGGTCCTAGTGATGATAATGAAAACTCAATGAGTATGCATTATTTTTGTCTATTTCGGAGTGTTCTTTAAGCTCAGACATATCAGATAAATAAAATTGGCTTTTATTACAAGGTGGATTTTTATTTTGCTGTTTTGTTGAATTGTCTGTGATCATGTTTTTCCATGAAACTTTAAAAAAGTGGCGCCGAACAAGAGTAGTGGGGTCGAACAAGGCCGTTTTAATAGAAATGAATTCAAATGTTGTAAAGCTCGCTAAAGGAAAAAAGCCATAAGGGCAAACTATAAAATAAATAAGTGGGAAACAAGTTTAAATTCGCAACATATATAATTAATGTTTAAAGAATAGGGAAATAATCTTTGAGCTCTGGGTTTCAGTGGTTGCTTGACTCGTCTTCCTCGTAGGTTACCACAACAAATAAGAAATATCTGCCATCTTGCCTTTGGCAGTCAGGTTTTTAACTATTTTTCTTTTTGACCCTTCTTTTTTTAAAAATCGAGGTTTTAAATAAAAGTACGGAACAAATGTTTAAATGGACGCAACGTCCATTATTACTCAAGTAGCACGCGATGACGACCAAATAGGAAATTATTCCTCCGACAGAGGTGAGTTGTAACATAAAATTATTATTCTCCCAGAATCACAAAATACCTGCACCTGTTATATATAACCGTTTTCAAACAATTCTTCCGATCTAGATCCAGCCTTTTAAAACGGAGTGATTTAAAAATAAATTAACAATACAAACAACGGTCTAGTTTAACCCTTTGAATGCCTATTTGTTTATTAATCGTAAAATCGTAAATCGTAATCGCCAAAGTAGGCGTGTATTGAATATGTAAACATGGATTTCAACCTTGGAGTTTCTCTCTTATTATCGTTTCTCACAATTATTCCATTGAACGAAATCGGCTCTCCAAAATGAGAAATATTTCCCCAAATCGATAGTTATTCTAATTGTACCGAGAAAAACAAAAACAATAATAATATAACGTATAACAGAGGACTAACCTAAATTTACGTTGTTCCTATTAAACGCCTTTTTTTGTCGTTCACGATATAAAGTTAACGTATTATACAAGTTTACATTATACGATGCTTGATTAATATATTTACAGATCAATCAAATTTCAATCTGTTTTAATCTTTTATTTGCCATTCTTGTATAATTTCCTTGATTATATTATGCAATTATTTTCTCATACAATTATCTTTCTTTGAAGAATGAGTCAATAATGGTTTCTGCCCTCATTGTGATTTGCGAGTCGCATATTATTTGGACATCTTCATTTCTCTAAATTGCCGTGTTATTTCACTTTGATCATTTATTTAAAAAAAAGTTTATTTTGACATGTTTTTATTATTCAAGGAAGTTGCTCTTAACTCTGACACAGTTATGAAACACAATATAATTGATACCTTATTGTTTTGTTCCCATGATAAGAAAATATTCAATTAAAACAGTTTCCATTCCCCCCACATTCCCTCAAGTCCTTAAAACCGCGTGCATAATATAAACGTGTGTTGGATTAAAGAAAAATAAATTAGTAAATTGCACATTTTTAATTTTAAATATAGGTTACTTTTGATAGCTATACAGCAAATTAGGGCAATCATAGCAGAAAGTATCAGGGTAATCATTGGAAAGTATCATCAACAATCTAACTTATATAACTTATCTACTAAAAAAATAGTGGGGTGTTGTATAGTACTGCCCCCATTTTGAAGAAGAGATTACTTAACTAAAAAGTCATGTTTTTGATGTTTGAGGTGGCTTTTGAAAGCATCAAGATCTTCTCTCAAACACTGTAGGAGCTGGAAATTCACTAAGCGTAATTGTTGTACACAAATCGACTTTTCTAATGTGGGGCAGAACAATAGTTCTTCAAAAGGGAACACTACAGTTTTGCCCCATGGTTTTTTTCTAGGAAAAGTGTACAAAATAATACTCTATGATGAATCAAAACGTTAATTTTTTTGATTACATAAACATGTAAGTGGTTAATAAGCTGAATTCGGATTGTACAAAGTTTTAATAATTTGCACGAAATCCACAAACGGATCAGCTTTCGTTATTTGAAATTGCCTTCTCTTTAAGAATTCACAAAGATGCGGATGAATATTGTTAGTGCCTCCTCCATGGAGCTTGCGTTTTATGGCCTGCCATGTTGATTTGATGGTCTGTGTGTGTGCAAGAGTATCAGGATCAACAAAATATATAGACTGGTTGACCCGTCTGATGAGAATATTTCATTTCGATCAATCCGTTGTACGCTTTCCATTGGTCGAAGATTATTGTAGTCACAAGTTTCACCTATTTTATGATAAGTGGTAAGAGGCTCGCGGCATCCCTTTTATTATTAGGAGAAAGTTCAAAGTGAAATTCTTTGGTGGTCCACTCAATTAAACCGAAAACGCATTGTCTTTCGACTAATCTGCCTCAGTTGTATTTTCTCCTCCCCACTTTTGATTAATCAATTTCAGTAATTGAGCCTGGCCCACTAATTTGTTCAGAATTCAGATTTTCGGCCCAGAACTCACATACCTCCCAACAATAAGATATTCATTCAGAGATCGTAGATGGAGAGTAGCAGATAATTAATCAGTGGTTCCATGTATGAGGAAATTATAATTTGTGATAATGTGAGTAAAATGATAAGTTAAAGTCATATGGGAAAACACAAGCCCCTGAACACAGAAATACATTTATTATGGGGTTGTAAACCTCTTTTGTGGCATGAGGCAATGACTTACGCTGCTGCGGTTCATGGCAGATCCTGAGAGTCAGATTCGCTGCAAATGGAACAATTAAGCATATGCAAGATAAGCCCTTGTTCTTGAAACCACTGCACTGCACTACCATCAGTTTTGAGAACATTGTATAGCTCTTTGAGCTTCATCATGTAAGTTGGAATTAATATTATACGGGTTTCCTCTTCTTTTGCTGTCAATAACATTTCTTGTTTTTCCTGATTACACCAAACACAAGAGCTTTATCTTGCGTCTCAACCTTGTAACTTTTGATGAAAGTAGAACAGCATTGTCAGTTACTTATGCACACAGAGATTAACTAATAATGTAAATATACACTTTGATCAAAAGTTTAAGGGTTGAGACGCGATAAAGAATGATAACAATTGGGGAGCAGTAGTGTAGTTTTCGACTAGGGAAATTCTGTAGTACTTCCCCCCATTTTACATAAACTCAAATTACACCATTTCACTCTACCGCAATGAAACTCTAATGGAACCCTGTTAGAAAGCATCTTTAGTTGTACGAAAAGCCACTTCAAACGTCAACACACACGATTTTTCAGTAAAGTAATATCTTCTTCAAAATGGGGGGGGGGGGGGCAGTACTATACAACATCCAAATAGTGCATTGACTTTGACAATATTCTTTCTAATTTCATAATGAATCCAGTCAACTTTTTGTTTTTATAATTACTCGGTAGATTAGGACAATTCTAGCAGAAAATAATAGGGTATTCATTGGAAAGTATCAACAATTTAAAGCATTAAAAAACAATTAAAAGAAAGTGGCAGCGTGGGTGGGCTGGATAGGTAGAGAAGCTCACAAGTAACACGAGCAATGTCCTGATTAAGGGAAGGTGATCTGTAAGATACATGGACACTTTGAACCAAGCCCTGTTGGTAGAGAAAGATTGCTTAAAGTGTTCCACCTAATTGTAGGATGTAATTCCTTGGCTCGTAGGTGCTTGAGCTGGCAGCAAGTATTTCCTCTGGTTCGATTTTTGGAGGAAACTGGGTTGTTTTATTATATATAAAACTAATAGTTTTATATCCCTACCATGTGTTGAGAGTGAATGTATTTTTTGGTGTGAATGTGTAGTGTGATAGGACCAATGGCGGAATATTGAGTACCCCATCGACTGACCGTCAGATAGGTTTGTTATGTAATAGATGTAAAGAGTGATGGAGGATTATCGAGTACTCTACCGCCCTGAGTAAATGGTATGTATATAAGAGTGAGTGAGAGTGTGCCATGCATGCCAGCACCAGGGCTGGGTGATTCTCGAGGCCTGTTGGTAATTTATTGTAGATTACTCAAAAGCTGGAATTGCCGGTGAGCTGCGAGAAGTGATAGGCTCAACTCTATGCAGATTTGAGCTTATATAAATGTTTTCATTAATCTAACTAATTTCATAATGTATCCAGATGACTGGTTGTTTTTATAGTCACTCTGTAAATTAGGACAATTATAACAGAAAATATCTGGCTAATGATTGGAAAATATCAACATTTAACTTTAAAAAAAAAGAAGAAAAAAAAAGTGCCTTAAAGACAATAAACGTTATCTAATTTCATAATTCGAGAGATCAGTTGTTTTTGTAGTTGCTCTGCAAATTAGGATAATCTTTAACCTCTGTGTTTATTTAGAATGGAGATGGGGGATAGACATAGTATTTACTATCCAGTTTTTACTGCACTATAGAAGGAATCAGGCTGTAATATTTATTCATATTTTTTAACTTTCCAGTAATTATTTGAAGAAATAAATGACAAAAAATAATAATTTTGTATTGTAAACTGCCTGGAAGTGCAGTTAAGATGAATTCTCTTGATTGTTTTTATAGTTACTCTTCAAATTATGTCAATCAGGGTAATCATTAGAAAATATCATCAATCATTTGACTTATAACTTAAAATATAGTGCCTTAAGACAATCTCCATTTAATTTCGTAACACATCTAGAAAACTGTTTCTTTTTATAGTTACTCTGTAAATTAGGACAATGATAGCCGAAAATGATAGGGTAATCATTGGAAAGTGCCATCAACAATTTAACTTTTAAAATAAACAAATAGAGTCCTTAAGACAGAAATCTCCATCTGATTTCATAATGTATGAACAACCGGTTGTTTTTATAGATACTTGGCAAATTAGTATAATCTTTAACATCTGCGTTTATTTAGAATGGGGGGAGAAAGTGATTCATCTTTATACCTCTCATGCGAGAAGGTTTGGTTGATTTAACTAAGTTACTGGTTGATTCTGGTGGTTTCACGCCAGGCAAGTTATGGAAACAACTTATCTTCTCAACAGAGGTCAGTACGATGTTAGAACCTGAGGAAGCTCTTGTGCTTGCTCTTTTACAAAATGGAGGAAACCCAGTCATAAAAGGATTTCTTACTTCTGCCTTGCGACTTCCCTCCAAGCTTCACTTTTTTAATTTTGTCGTTATATTCCTCACACTTCTTGTCCCACATCTCGGGACTAATACAGATATGTAAAAAGAACATTTTCTATGATGAACTCAGTTGACTCAACTAGGTGGCTAGTGTGATGAATGCAGAGTTGTGTCTTTTAAGTTTAGTCAACCTGTCGGGATGAGAACGTGATCGGAACTTGTGCCTGCTGGGCCACCTGTCTTGGCGGATGATTTGACTTCGTGTGTAGGGGTACGGACGGTTCATTTGTTTGACACACGTCCATTAGACTAATTGAATCAACTAACTAATCATCTAAAGTATCAACAATTAAACTTTTAAATTTAAAAAAGTACCTCCACTTGGACAATAATCTCCATTTAAGTTTATAACATTTATAGAAAACTAGTTGTTTTAATAGTTACTCTGCAAATTAGGAGAATCATAGCAGAAAGTATCAGGGTAATCATGTTATCATTGGAAAGTAACAACAATTTAACTTTTAAACTAAAAAGAAAAAAAAAAGTTTGTTTTTACTTTTATTTTTTGACTTTTTATATTTCTTGGGTTTCTTAAAGAAAACGAGACTGATGAGGGGAGGCTGATGCCCCCAAAATTGATATCAATAAAAAGAAAGTGAATTTGATGGTTGTCTAGTTCCTGAAAAGAAACCCCAAGAAAAAAATAGTGCACATAAAGCAATAATGTTCATCTAATTTCATGTTGTATCGACTACTGTTGTTTTTATAGTCAGTCTTTAACCTCTGTGTTAATTTAAAATGGGGGGAAGACTCAGTAGATATTACATATTTTTTACTGCATTGTATTATCAGGCTGTAATATTTATTCACCTTTTTTGAACTTTTCAGTAATAGTTTAAGAAATAAAAAATAGTAATTTTTTATTGTAAAGTTGTCTGGAAGTGTAGTTAAGATGTGTTCTCACAGTAGATTTCATTCAACTTCAGTTTGGCTTTGCCAATGAAAAGTTCACTAGTTTCAATAAAAATTGGTCAACTTTTGATTCGCAGAAGCATTGAATGTTTTTTTTCTTATACATGATTTTAACCATATTAATTTTGTTCTTCAAATAAGCGATAGTAAGTCCAGCAGTTTCCATTGATTTTACGATAGAACTCAATGCCTTTTCACTCATATCTTTATTTTTATTCTTGTCATTAAGCCACGGTCACTCAAATGCATGATTGGAGCCATTGAAAAAGGTTTAAGAATAACAATAATATCAAATGAAATCAATGAAGGAAAAAGATTAACTAAAAACGATCTTTAGCAGATGGAAGGACATAACGATGCTACTTCTTGTGAAAATGATTAATCAGTACAAAAGTAAACAAAGAAAGTAAACAAAGTATTAATTACTGTTTATTTTGATTACGATAGTTCCTAATTACTTGTAACTAATGTAAAAAGATAATGGGTTTAATTTTAAACTAAATAAATTGAGTAGTGTGTTAAATTTGTCGATCAGTGTATTTATTAAGAATATAAGAAAAATAATGTACAAACATTCAGAAATTTACTATTATGAAGACAATTTCCATGGCTTAAGTTTCTGAGGATTGATGGTTGGTACAAATTTTTTTTTTCAAAACTCTAATCCATGCATCTTAATTTTGATTCTAAACAATCAATCCATTTAGCAGTGTGCAAGTTGTTTTTGAGTAATATGCTAAAAGAAAAACCTTAAAAACGGAATAAAATTTCACCTCTTATCAGTGTCTTGTTTATTTAATTGCATAACTCATTAAAACAAAACAAGACAGCCAACAGGGATTAAGGAATTGAGTACTTACATAAATGGAAATAGTTTCCTCACAAAATTGCTTTATTCACAACACTTACATTTATAACAATAAATAAATGACATAATAAAATAATAATAATAATAAACAAAATAATAAAATAAACTTATAAATAACAATAATAAAATAAATAGACCTAGTATGACTAAATGCTGTAATTTGTATATTTAAAAACTAAGTAAATATTTTTATTTATATTTTAAATATACAAATTACAGCATTTATTTACATAGCCATATTAGGTTTTTTGAATTGTTTTCTTTGATGAAACAATTAATTTGAGTGAAAAACTATTAATTTTTTCTTAAAAGCACGGTTTTTTGCATCTCATCTGGGAATCCATGCTTTGGCCAATCCGTTACATCGCATCTGTTACATTGCCCAAGTCCTGGGTGTGCCACGCTCCACCATCGATGATGGTCAACCATGGATTAGGGCCACCAGAAGTTTCAATCAAAGAGAAGGTAGTGGTCGACTGTGATGTACGATGGCAAGAGATGATGGTCACTTCAACAATGGGGTGGGGGGCTGTTATCTTCACAGATGAATGCCGGTTTGGTTTGTGACAAACAGATGACAGGGACTGTGTGTGGAGAAGGCGTAGAGAATGCTTAGCTTCATTTTTCACAGACAGTCCTTTTCAAAGACAGTTAGTTATGGTACAGGGTGGAATCCACGTTAAATGAACTGATTATCATACAGAATACTTTGACTATAAGGTACATTGAGGAAGTTCTTCTGGAAGCTGTGATCCTATTTGCTCCATTTATTGGGGACAACCAAGTTAAATGCATGATAATAATCGACCGCATATAGCATAACATGGAGGATATAGGGATTACCACAATGAATTGGCCAGAATGCTCTCCTTAGAGCATGTTTACATCCTATAGAACACTTATGGGACATGATAAAGAGACATCATTTGCCACCTCCATGTGCTAAATAGCTTCTTAAACTCTTTCAAGAATGGGATTCTGTTTCACAAGATGAGATCCAATCGCTTGTTTACTCGATGTCTAGGAGACTTAAGGTCCTCTGTGAGGCCAGAGGAGGTAACACGCATTATTAAGAGCAAAGCTAAGTAATAAATTTTTGTTGTTGTTTGTTAGTTAAATTTTAATCTGTCATTAAATGATGTTTGGTGAATTTTCTTTCAAACCATAATTAAATAATTTTTTTAAACTCTCATGAATTTATAATCTCATTTAATTTGGTTTACATTAAAATAAGTACATATGTTGTAATTAATACAACGATAAAAATACATATAGTTTGAAATAAAAAAACAAAATACGAATGTAGAATTTTTGAATATATTGTTTACATATATAGATTCATTTTAATCTTTTATATATTAATATTTGAAATTATTTATGAGATTAACCCAATCCTTTCCATTAAAAAATTCTATACATATAAGAACATGCAGAATATCCCCTCTAGCCATTTTTAAATTGGAACAGTTTTACTTCCTTTAAGAAAAAATAATAACTATAAATTACTTATTTTTAAAATTAATTGTTGGTTTATAATAAACTAATTGCTAAAAATATAATTATAATTTCATTGTCATAACTGGAATTATCTCAACGATGATTATTACATTGTAGCAGTGTTTTTATTATTATTATCATTAGTGATATCCTAATTTTTTGTGGTTTAAAAATTATCTGAAAATTCGATTGGAATTCTAAACATTTATAAATACACTAAATTTATACTTACAGTTTACAATTCACATATTTACTTTTGCTTTAGCAGTGTTTTAATATTTATGGATAAATTAATTCAGTCTAGGACACAAACAAAACTATTTGACCTATATAAAAGTATCAACTTTTTATCCACATTATATTCATATCTTATATGTATATGTATAATTTAAACAATATTTATAAATCCCAGGGCTGGAAGATGATCTCAATAAAGATCGAAAATTTGGCTTGATAAAGAAAATGTTTTGCTAACCTACATCACACCAGACCGCAACTCACAATATTTAAATAATAATTTTTTATCCACATTTAAAATTTAAAGTGTTTAAAATTCTTTTGTTGTCTGTTTTTTATTTAACATATTTATAATACAATATTTCTTATAGGGGGAAAGAAGGGCCGAAGAGGATTATGGAGGTCTCTGCTGTGCTGCTTTGGAAGCGAAGACAGTCCGAAAGGATCCAAGGGCTCAGGAGTGAATGAAGTTATTTGTCATACTGAAGTTGTAAGCTCAGGATCACCTAGATATCTTCTACCTCCAGTACGACATCAGGACATGCATAAAAAATGCATGGTCATTGATTTGGATGAAACATTAGTTCACAGTTCATTCAAAGTGATTATTTTATTTCATATAATATATTATTATTATTATTTTGTTATGCATTATTATAATTTTAGCCAATCAACAATGCTGACTTTGTTGTCCCCGTTGAAATTGACGGGACCATTCATCAAGTATATGTTCTTAAGAGGCCTTATGTAGATGACTTCCTACAAAGAATGGGAGAATTGTATGAATGTGTTTTATTTACTGCAAGCCTAGCAAAGGTATTCCTGAGTGAATTTTTGCTGATATAATTTTATTATATATACCAATACTTTTTTCACAGGTTTTACTCTTTTGTACTCATGTTTAATTTATGTTTGTAAATTTTAACGATGAACTAGATTATCGACCTGCTGGATACAAGAAGTCTTTTCAGAGGATCTTCGGAAGAGGTCAAAACAGAGAAAACTTCCTTACGGTTTTCGCCGAGCTTTCGACAGTTTTATACTGTCATCTTCAGGGCCTTTTTTATTATCATATAAACAAACAATTAAAACATGAAAAAACAATAATTACAACAATAATTGGATATCTTACTTTAAAACCTTAATAGGAAATTAAACAACATGGTGTTTTGGGCACAGAAGTACATTATGTTTTTTTCGGCTCAGCATCTAAATATTGATTTAAATGGAATACATTAACAATTAAAAATTATAGCTAAAATTACAGTAAAAATAAAGTTAAAAAACGTGGTCGAGAAAGGTTACCTCATATAAGTCTAAAAAACCAATAAAATCCACCTTTTTTTAGTTTTTCAGGTACAAATGATCACAGTACGTTTCCCAAATATATATATACATATACAATTAACTTATTTTAAAATTTAAATAACAATAAAGTAGGATCACAGATCAAATCAATAAAAACCGATAAAAACAATCTCTACGACGAGGGGAAACAAAGGATACGGGGCTCGGCGAAAACCGTAAGGAAGTTTTCTCTGTTTTGACCTCTTCCGAAGATCCTCTGAAAAGACTTTTTGTAAATTTTATTTTATTTACTCTATCCTCTTTCATTAAAATATTCTATCATTATTCTCATTCCTAATTACAAACTTCCAAACCACATATCCTCCTACATCCTTCAACAGTCGTTAAATCCTCGAAAGACTCTTTTTAAAGCCCTTAACACCCTTTCTAGATACACATAACATCATTCACTCTCCCCAATTCGGCTTCCATCCTAATCATTCCACAATCCAAGGAGGCTTCAGAGTTGTTGCACAATCTCCTTTGCTCTAGAGAATAAAGAGTATTTCTTGGGTGTGTTCCTAGATATAGCTTGTGCTTTAGGCCAGGCCTGCTTTATAAAATTAAATGGTTTACCCACTCCTTATTATCTTATCCTGAAATCCTTTCTAACCAGCCACTGCTTCAGAGTAGGTGCGGCAATAAGTTCTTAGAAATCAGACCAATCCAAGCCGGTGTCCCACAAGGGAACATTTCTTTGTCCCTCCTGTATATTATATATACTGCTGACCTGCCTACACACCCCACATGGAGGCTACTGAAATTTTTTCGTCTAACTGGTATCCTATCCAAGCTCCTGCCAACATCCAAGAAAACATGGAGTTTATTGAAGACTTGTGCGGAAAGTGGAGGACAAAACTGAATGAAGAAAAATGTACTCAGTGTATGTTCACATAGAAAAACAGTCTTGCCCTTCACTGTACATCAACCACAAAGAGATACCGACATCCATTCAAGTCAAATACTTAGGACAGAGACTGTCTAGTCTAGACAGAGACTGATGTGGAATCCCGACACGACTTATGAGATAACAACTTAATATAAGACATAGGAACGAATTCATTGAAAATTGAAAACTAAACTAACCTAATACAAGACTTTACTGCAACCATTGTATGGCTCTGCCAAGCCATCCAACATACAGCCTTCCAATCAAAAGTACTCAGACAAATTGTCAAAGCTCCTTACTACATCACTAACCTCACTATCTACAATATCAACATTTTTTGTCAATGAACTGATCCATTCCCAGTTTCAAAAGGGTTCACATCAACCTTTGATCCAACCTAACCCTATTGATCGAGCTTTCTCTACACATTTCTATCCCGATGATGTTGCTTTAATTGACGGTGGCCTCGAGACCACTTTTCCCTTAACTCCTCATTGAGTGCCAGCATTGGCTGCTTTCTCATGGCATGTCATATGGGTGCAGCGCTGACCTTAGTGTTAGTGCTGCGTCCATGTAAAAAACAAATTGTGATCACATTTATCAAATTAATAGAAAATATTGAGTACAAATAAAAACATAAAGCAAATTATTTGGGTTAATTGGTTACTCTTTGAATAACTTGTTTGAATTTTTGCCTAGTTTTGCACAGACTTTTGAAAACATGCACAGCGTTATTGTCAGAGTTCATAAGTGAAACCAAGGCCTTGTCTCTATCTCTACTATAATATTTTTGTTTCAAACTGTATAGAATAACTTTACAAATAATTTCAATTGACATTATTTGAACATAAAGATCAAATTATGTCTGTATTTTCAAGTCCTAAAATGTGCTTATTTTTTATTTATTTATTTTTTTTATTATTATTATTATTTTTTTTTTAAGTATGCGGATCCAGTTGCAGACCTTTTAGACAGATGGGGAGTTTTTAGATGTAGACTTTTCAGAGAATCTTGTGTTTTCCATCGTGGAAATTATGTCAAAGACTTAAACAAGCTTGGACGGAATCTTCAGAAAGTTGTTATCGTCGATAATTCACCTGCATCTTACATATTCCATCCAGACAATGCGGTAAGATATTTTATTATTCTGCTATTCACCATTGAATGTGATTTAAAACAAATTATAAAATTCTGAAGGTTGACATTTGGTCATTACTTATCAATTGATGTCAGACCCACTTATTAAAACAAGTAATATCATTTTCACCTAGGTTATTCCTCTAAAAATAATAATAAAATAAAATAAATAAATTTAAAAAAATAAATGAATATAAATATCTATATCCAGATCTGTACAGTATATTATAGTATCTGTACAGTTTTTAACTTTTTTAAGACGGATTTTAGGATGTTGAAACACGTTCCCCGGCTTATATTTTTGACCCTCCCCCCAGCCTGGTTTATTTTCCATCTTGCATCGAGTCGCTCTTACTCGTTTTGAGCCGCACCAATTCCATTCAAAATTTGGCAGTACATTCCTCAGATATTATAGTTTCAGCAGAAGTAAGTAAATGGAAGAAGAAAATCAAAGTTGAATTTAATTGAAATTTTAGTTTTCACAAAAAGTATTCTTTATGTATTATCCAAAAAACAAAATATTTATTACTGATTTTTTTCTTCAACTTTGTAAAGGTATGTACATACTACGAGTATGGAGTTGAAAAAATATGTATACAAAAAAAATTAGATATAAATAGGACAAAAAAACATTCTGAAAATTACTGTGGATGTAAATAATTTAAAACCTAGGGCACTTTGCAGACAAGAGGTGAAAAATCAGAAAGACAATAGGATAGTGGTAGGGAAGGGCAGTGGCAAAGTAAGCTATTTCCAATGAGACAGAGATATTGTGGCCGAATGGCTTTCCAAAAAAATGTCTGTGTTGAAATTTTACTAAGTTTGAGAAAGAGGCCAAATTGTGAACAGAAGGGGAAAAAAATTTGGTTCGCTGATGAAGACGGGCAAGGAAGGGTGTGGGAAGGAGATGTTGTCCATTTACTACCGTTAACCGAGGTGCCTGCTGCACTTTGGATACCACCTCAGCCCAGTAGATGCCATGAGTGTCCAGCTAGAGCTCTTTAAATCCGGGGGGGGGGGCATGAATGAAATAACTCTTCACAAGGCGTGGGGAGTGTATAAGCCTGAACGAGACAATCCATTACTGGCCTGAGGAGCCTCCAAGCCTGAATGATATAATTCATCATGAGTCCTGAAAAGGTTAATTAAGTTTTGTCATGCCTGTTATAAAAATAATGTAATTTTAATACTCAATTGAAAGTTAAAAGTTAATAAATGTAAATATATTTTGTCCATTATTGTCTAACAATTGTGAAACATTGTTCCTGTCAAGGTTGTTGAGAAAAATCGTACAGAACAAATTGCATGAAGATTGAAGAAAATAATTATCAGATTTTTGTATTTTAATAAATAAGAAATCAAAGGATAACAAGTCAAGATAATGTTATTAGTGCATTCAAGAAAAGTAACAGGTATTGAGAAATAACCACCTAACAGGATAAAATAACCAATAGAATTAACAGGAATTTTTTTAAAAAACACTAATAATAAAAATCTCCAATTTACTTCCAGGTTCCCGTAGCTTCATGGTTTGACGATATGACTGACACAGAAATGTTGGATTTAATACCCTTCTTTGAAAATCTAAGCAAAGCAGATAATGTATATGCAACTTTATGTAATTCAAATCACCCGTATAATTCCAACTCAACGGGTAACATCAGCAATAGCCATATAACTTCATAGCATCACCAAGCTTCCTTCCCTTCCTGTGCCAACATTGCCTTCTTTTGGTAAGTATCGATACTACCAAATATTTTTTTAATTAAATCGGAATAATAGTATTGTAATTTTGAGAGCTGACGTTCAAAAGAGAAAAAAATACTAAAAAAAGAAAAATGGATGAGAAATATATATATTATATATTATATATAATATATAATATTTAATGAATTTTATACATTTGATACTTTATTACATCAATAATAAAATTGCGCTGAATCATAGAATGTAAATTTTAATTTTATTTATAAACCAAATTGGATTGTTTGATTCCCCATTTTTATATATATGTATACATAAAAATTATTCCTTTTTTCATCCTTAGTTGCTGGAAATTTCTTGTTGATGTGTTATAGGTGTTACCAATAATTTTGGAATTTTATTGCTTTAGAAATAATCGTAGACTATTTTAGCAATGTAACACATCAACTGTGCTTAAACATTAAAATCCAACAGATAAAACATTAAACAATAATTGGATAAATAAAAAAGGTTTTTTAAGCTATTTGTTATTTATTTCTTAATTTTATTTTGTAAATTAATTAAGGAAATAAATTACTTATAACACGATAAACACAAATTATGTTGTTGAAGTTTATATCAAATAAAATGTACAAAATGTTGTTTTATGATACATTAGTGTACCATAACTGTTGTTGAAATCTGTAATGTTAGATACTAATACATATAATTTTTATTAATAAGAGGTAGTACATTTTATATTATAGGTTGTGAGATAAAAATAAATAAATAAAAGCCAAGCACATAAAATTAAAAGTTTTGTTTAGTTTTTAATTTAAAAAAGCTGTGGTAATATCACGTTCTTTTTAGAAATATGTAATCAGATCAAACTCACTAAACTAATTCTAATGTTATTTATTTATTTATTTTTTATAAGGTCATTGGATTTGTTTAATATCTTTTACCTATAGTTGACTAAAATGAACTGTAGTTTTGCCGTTTTTTATTTGATTTAAATATAAAACAATCAGTCATTTATTCATTTTAATATTTAAAAAAATGTCCATAGTATTCTACATGTTTTTTAATTTTGTAACAACTAATAAGTAACTAAAGAATATGTTCACTATAAAAAAAATCCAATGCCTTTTTTTTTTCTTTTTTTTTTTTAACGCACCTCTTCTTTTATATTTAACATTCCACACAGGACATTGGGAACAAATACAAAAACATTAACCCTAAAAGAAGTGTGGTTTCTCTTGCATTGCATTATTTTACTGACATACATCCACCCCTTTTGGATTGTTTTTATTTCAGCACAAGGAGTGGAAGTTGTAATTGAAAAATTAAAAAACAACAACATAATTTTCATGTTTTTATACAACCAAACACACTTTGTTGATGTATAGAAGTTAGATTTTATTGATCGACCATCAAGGATTTTGCTAATAGGAAATGTTGATTTCCTAATTTCAATGTTGAGGATATCTTTCATATCACAATTGTAAACCTTGTTTTAATTTTACACACTTATGTATACCAAACAAATTACTGGTATTTTCCTATATTTTAAATTGTGTAAAAAATTATATCAATATAATTTAATATATTATTGTTACAATTGTACAATTTTATTTTATTTTTGTTTGTTTTATTTATATTATAAATTTAAAAAAAAAATCTAAATTTTGTAATGCTTTTTGAAATTCAAAGGGCTCAAAAGACATTTTCACGATTGAAATAATGAAATTGTTACAAACAAACATGTACATTGAATGTTTATTTAATATTTGTTTTTAGAAGAAGCCTCAGTAAGTTTTTTTAAGCCATTTTATGAGTTCCATTTAAACATAATTTTCAATAATTATTCCCTTCTGCACAAATCCAATTGTAGTATGAATCGTATCGCATTTTCAATTGTGGGGTGAGTGCAATTTTCTGTATATCTGGAATGAAAGTCTCGTTTTGAACACTTTTGAAATATACTAGAACAGCAGTAAAATTAGGCCTACATATTTTTTCTAAATGAATCTGTAGATAAATGGTACATGAGTTAATACATATATTTTTTTAAAGTAGTTTTATTTGTTGAATTATCTTCATGTCCCAGTTTTTTTAAAAATTTTTTTGAACATATAAATGTTTTAAACTAATAAAAGGTTTGTATGTGCCAAATTAGTTATAATTTAAACATTTAATTTAAGTGGAAGCATAACCATTACTGGGGTTTCTATTTATGTTTGATTTTGTTGCATACAAAGTAAATTGAATTCATTTGGACAAAGATAGCCCATACAACAAAAATGTATATTTATATATTTGTTTGTCTACAAACAAATGGATGTGTTACTGTGTGCTTGTATATATACACAATAGTTTATATAATATATTTTCAACAGTATCATAATTGTTCAAACAGAGAAAAAGATACAGAGTTCATACTGGAAAACTTTGTGAGCTTTATTTTTCTTAACCTTAGAAATATTTTGATATGAAATAAATTGTAACTCGTAAAATCAAAACAGAAATTATTAAATTATTTTGTACAAAATATTCTTTTGTCATGTTTTAAAATTCCTCACATTATTTAACTTATTCTAATTCCTAAAGGATGTAAATTTTCTTGCCTATTGTTTTCACAGTACTACGTGTAGCAATTTTTTATCAATTAACAAAATTTATTGGCTCTCGTCTTCATTATTAAAGAAAATGAATTGAAAGTAAGGAACGAAAACGACTAATTGCATCCTTTTTGTTGATTTCCATCATTAGCCTAGTATTAAAAAAAGTTAAAACTAATTAATCAAATGCATAAACATAAGAATAGTTGATGTGTTAAAAGCATTATAAATGAAATATTTTTATTATTAAATTATTCTAATTTTTTATATAGATTAATTCTTATGTTGTTTTTATTTGAAATAGTGTCATATGATTGAGAACAACGCACAACAAAATTTGATTTTTTTTTCCAACAATAAAACGGCAAACTGTAGGACTGAGAATGAATAGTAAAAGAAAGTACTTGACACTTAAAAAATATATTAAAACGAGTTTTGGTAGATATAGGGATGCCAAATTAGAATATTAATTTTTTTTAGACTTCCTCTTCACTCTTAAATGGCTGTGGGATAAAAAGCCCTCCTGAAAGAAAGTGCTTAAACTTGAACTGTGAAGCCCAACAAATCTATCTTGCTATTAACTTCTGATAATAAATTGCTAATTTTAAAAGTTTTTACAATGATTTTTTATATTTATTTTATAACTACATTAGGTCATGCTTCCGGGGGGATATTTTTGAATATTCCTTGGCACAATTTAATAGTTAGGTATTCATCAAAAAAATTGCTACTCCTATAAAAATATTTAATTAAATTAAAAATAAAATTTTACTAGGACATATTTATTCAAACAAGATTTTCATAGATTATTTTTCATACTAGATGTTTAATAATACCAAGAAAACTTTTTTATAATTTGGTTTTGGTGTTTATAATAGAATATTTAACTTTAATAACATTCTAATGTTAAAAACATTAAGCTTTATTGCATTATATTTTTGAAACTTTATACAATTTTTTTAATCTCTTTTTGATCATATCAAATTGTAGGAGATAATTTAACTTTTGAAGCTACATTTTGTGATATGCACATTTAAGTTTGTTGCCATATCAGCTTCATATAAACTGGAAATTTTTGTCAGTCATTTAGATATAATGTTGTTTATACATTTCCATTAAACTAAATCGAATAAAACATTATCAGAGACAATCACATAAATTTAACAATTAAAGAAATATATTTTAATTGCTTTGATTGCAATTAAAACAAATGAGAAATTTAAACAATGGTAATTGCTTCAAGATAACATAGAGTAAAATTGTATGGTTTAGTTTATGTTATAATCAGTTTAATTATTAAAATTTAATTAAAAACTAGTTTTTTTATCGAAAAAATATTGGTAACTCCTTGTCTTAATATACATTACATTATTATTAATATTTTTTAATGAAATTTTATTCTGAAGAGTGAAGCACACAAAGTCGTTCTTGAATTAATAAATATAAATAGTGAGTATGAACAATTAAATAAAGAAACTCATTTAAAACTTCCTGCCATTTATGGTTGGATATATTTTAATAACAATTTACTTAAGACTTAACCAATTTATTTTACTATTTGTGGGGTGACTTTTAATATGATCTGTATACTAAATGTTTCTGTAAAATATCATTTCCAAATTGTAAACATGTACTATTTTTGCTCAAATAATCCTTCTTGTACAATATAAGGGTAAAATATTAGCTAATGATTGCCAACTATGCAGTGTGAGAACAGTTAGAAGATGAATGAAGAATGAATTAATACTCAAAACAATTTAAAGCCTTCCAAACATTACTGTGTGGATCAATTAAACAATAATGTAAAATGAACCCACCCTCGCCTTGGACATTTCTTATTGGTACAATGTTTTATAAACGATGTATAGTTGAATTCCTTTTATTGCAATTGTAAATATCATTGTAAAAAATGTACAAAAGAAAAAAAATACAAAATCGCCTTCCTGAATGTGTAAATACTAATTTTAGTACAATTAGTAAAATTATAATTGTTCTCAGTTTGCTGAATTTTTAACCTAAATGCATAAAAAGAACGCTGAAATCATAATTTTGTATTATATTGTAAAGTTCTGATAATTTTTTTCCTGCAACCTATATACCACAGATGAGAAATTATAAATAAATATATATTTCCCATTAATTGTAGTTTTGTTTTTAGTGTTTTAAACATTAAATATTTATAGGTTCTTGAACCAATAATAAGAGAAATATTATATACATATAAATTAGCGTTTTCAATGAAAGAATTAATCACATTTTTCTCAATAATTCCAATTTTTTAAATCGCAAGCATAAAACAAAGAATATAAAAATATGAACTTTTGACGATCTACCATATATACAGAAATTCAACATCGTGCCTTATTTGCTAGGAGCCTTATTCTGAGCCATTATGCATATATTTTATCTCTATATACAAAATACATGTAATCCTTCAACAGGAATGTCTTAGAACAAGTCAGGGAATTACATTTACCACAGGAAAAAAAGTACTAAATGTAATGTAAAGTAAAACAAGTGAGTTAAACTTCAATTTGTGAATTGTGACAAGGTGGCATAATACAAGCAACTGTGAACAAACTTCGATAAATAAAAAATGTAATTTCAGGCTATTCCCTCAGATTTTTTTGAGATGAATTTTGGCATTGTTTTTTTATCACCAATGGTTGGTCTGTGTCATAATGTATTTCACAATATATCTGCATCCTTATGGAACATGCAAAATTTCTTTTCAGGGCTGTGATTTTAAAGTGTAGATTTTTGGTATAAGTAGAATAATTATTATACAAAATATTAAGCAGAATAATTATTATACAAAGTTTTGAGGTGTCTAAAAAGGCAGGCACATTGTCTTTAAAAGGAAGTGGTTTCACTTTTATTCAATTGTACAGTGTCGGGCATAAAGACTTACTGGAGTATGCACATCTCATTTGTAAGTGAATGAAACTGAACTGAAAATTAAACTTATCATATATTTAACAACAGGTAATAGGGTGTCAATGGCTGCAATGATTTAAGCGTTGACACTGTGCTTAAGGTGCAGGTCCCGAGTTTGAAACCATCGGCCCTGCATTCTAACCAAACATACAAACAGGCTTTTTTTTTTTTCAAAAACTCAGGCACCCCCGAGGGTTGGTATGACCTCTGCAATTATAGGAAGGGATATATAGCTAACCTAAGATAGAAGGAAGGAGGGAAAATTCGAAAGATTGTAGGTTGAGATGGGGAGGTCGTGGGTTCGAATCCCGTTCGTGACACTAACTTTTTCATTTCAACCAAGACCCTACATAAAAAGAATAATTAATTGAAATAAGTAATTTGATCAATCAGACCACTAAACATAATGGATTTCTAAGATAGAAGGTTTAAATGTTAGGGGTTTAAATAATAATGTAAATATTTATTGAATATTGTAGTCCACATTTTTAAGGGTATGTATTTGAATTCCTTTTACCTGATTTATATTTGAGTAGTTAACTGACATAAATCACATGCTTTACTGGGATTATAAATATTATATTTTTAAACCCATTAAAAATATTTAATACATCTACCTTACATTTATAACATTATGGCTGTAGTTTTAAAAATAAATAATACAAGAAAGTAATAAATCATTCATTCATAGATTTAAACCTAGCGAAGATTTAACAGATAATAAATGCTTATGAAATTATTGTGAATTATCAATGAATTAATCATATTGGGTTGTCCGGAAAATAATGCAGGATTTTAAGTTTTCATTAAAAAAAATCTATATAAAATATTCTGTTTACGTTTACAGGATTACTCNGGGAAATTATTTTGATTAAAGAACATTGCTTTAAAGTAACTAGTTTCTTTTTTTTTGTTTAATACCAAAATCCTGCATTATTTTCCGGACAACCCAATATTTACTGATCCTGAATTTTTGGTTTAAATTAGCATTATTAATGAAAAAAATCAATAATCTCAATTTATATTGAATATTTGTAGATCACATTTTTAAGGGTGTGTAATGGATATTTTTTTATTTAATGTTTTATTTGAGCTGAAACTGCCATAAATTGCATGCTTTATTTAAAGATTATAAATGCTATTATTCTTCCTTTATTCTTGTAATTCCTTTATTCATTGTTCTTTCTTTATTCTTCAAATGCCATTAAATTTCTGTTCGCCTTATGTTTATATTATGGCTAAATAACACGAAAGTAATAAATAATTCACTCAAAGATTTAAGCTAGCTCAGTATAAAAAGTAGGCAATAAATCTTTAGGAAATTATAAGAAAAATACTCTAGCAGATGGTAATGGAAGGATTTAGTGTTAAATTAATATTCTTTGTGACAGGAATATTAGAATATGAGAGTGGGAAATTCAAATGTCGGAATTATGTTGGTACACCGTAGAATGTTTGGTGGGAGATGTCGGACGGGTTTGTTTTCGTCAGTCATCCACGAGCTGTAATAGTGCGGTTCACTGACGTCCCGAGTTTATTGGCCCTTCCAGTTGATATATTTTTTTCGAAAGTGGGATACCGTTCAATAATATTTTTACGCGAGTGTAGGAGAACCGCAAAACACACGGAGAAAAAATTACAATGTGATTGAGTGATCGTTCTGTTAAAAACTCAAGCATCGGATTTTATTAAAGGGGCAAAAATCATAAAGGAGGATAAGAAGGTACTGTCAAAAAGAAAAAATAAACGAATTAAGAAGCCCATGTTTGAAATATTTTTTCTTTATCTGTTTCAAAAACACGTCAAATAAAAATCGTACATGTAAATAAAGAGGAATTGGTCCTTGGAAAGAGGCGCAAATTATTTTCTTGGTGGGGGTTTGTTTTGAATCTGCGCCGTTTAAATCCGTGAACTTTCGTACCATGTGTAAACTGGGGGGAAAAACGCTACAATGTAGACATTCGAGGAATGTGCACCGATCATCCGTTGAATGGGGAATGAAAAAGGAAGGAGCACCGTAGGAGATGAATGGAGAGTGGACCGTTAGTAAATTGTTCCCCACCACGCGAAACTCTACTACACATTACACTACTACGACGTCGCATTCATGCTAGCTGTACACCGACGTAATGTCAGTCAGTCAGTCATCCCGTGTAGAATTCAATATATGGAAATTGTCCTCTTAGTTTTTCCCTTCTTCTCTTATCAATATTTATTTCAGCCTAGTTGTACAAAAAATAAAACGCTTGAGCAAATTGAAATATCAAAAAGTTTTGTTTACGTTGAAGTCCTTTATGACAAACATTACACCAATTCCAACGTATTCCGTTTTGATTCCACAATTTAAACTAAATCAACGAAACTTAAAAAAAAATTGTATTCTATCATTTTAATAAATTATTTACATAAACGTCTTTAAATTAACGAACGAAGAAAAGGCTTCAATCATATAAGGATTGAAATTGATTAATTATTATAATAATTTTAATAAATTATATATTTATTAGCATGACAATTGCCCGTAGATTTAACACTATACGAGCTGATTCTTATGTAGTAAAAATAACCGTATAATAAAGCGGAACAATTTATGATATAGGAAGTATATAAAAGTATGTCATAGGAAGTATATAAAAGTATGTCAGTCTTTCTCTCGTATGTCTCTCTTTTTGTTTTTCTATTTATCTGTATATATATCTACGTAGTTAAATATCTATTTATCTACTGATTTTCTCCTGCTACTGTCACACCCATACTTTCTTTTACTCTCCTCTCTCTCTCTCTCTCTCTCTCTCTGTCTCTCTGTCTCTGTCTCTCTCTGTCTCTCTGTCTCTCTCTCTGTCTCTCTCTCTCTGTCTCTCTCTCTCTCTCTCTTTCTCTCTCTCTCTCTCTTTCGATCTTTCTTCTCTCTCATTTTATATCTATATTGCCGCCTTTATTTTGTTAAATATGTTTCTTTGGGGAGGAAACAGTCTAAATAAAAATAAAACAGTAAGTTTCAAGTTAAAGACTCTATTAGCATGAAAATTATTGTTTTAAAGGGGTGGTTTTACATTGACATTCCCTCATTGGAGACATTACAACAGAATAGTGAAAATACAACTTTTTCAATTAATTAGTGTAAAAAGTACAATTTTGGCTTTTTGTAAGATTTTATTTCCCTTATTTTCTTTTCAGTCTATGTTGAGCAAATAGTACTTATTACTTGTTTATTGAACATTGGAGATTTTATTTGTTAGAAAGGTAGTTTTTTGGGTTAACCAGTAAGAAACTAAAATTAGGTTGAAAAAATGTATTTAATGTGTTCTTGGTGTCTTCATTTGACTGGCTATTTTAATCCATAAACAATGGTGTGGGTTTAGTGAAGATAGATACTCCGGAACTGTGAATTTTTATCTTATTTGGAATGCATATCGAGCTATTAAATAACCTCTCAGCTGACATACCAAAAAATTAATTTTTGATTTTCAGCTGCACGACTGACAAAGTTTGTATACATCGGTAGTACATATGTATTAATTGTTGAGTCTAAAGGAAATAATGGTTATTGATTATTGTATTATAACTGTCGTAGGTGCACTTCGGTTTTATTTTTCATATTGTTATATTGTTTTTTCATATTGTTCATATTATTCAAATTATAAACAAAAATAATTATTGAAAATTGCAAATCTGTTAATGGCACGACTGACGTTAATAGAGGATAAATTCTGTCAAATTATTATTTATTTATTTTTGGGGTGTTTTTATGAAACATACACACAAAAACAAAATAAAAAGTCAAAAACAAATACGGATAAAAATTTCAAATTTAATGAGTGTAATCTTATCTTTTATTTCTCTCTTCTATAATCTACAAAACATCACTAATAAAAGTGTAAACAATTAAAAGGCAAACAAACAACACATGTCACGAAAACGATATTCAGTTTTGAAAGTTAGGTAGTCAGATTGTCGCGAGGAGTCCGTGAAAAAAAAGAGTATAAAAAAGGGTACAAAGCACAATTTTTAAATGACGATATAAATTTCAGTTGTTTTATTTTGATTTAAAACATTACTGTTAATATAAACAAGCAGCAATGTCATGCAGCTTTGAAAATTAATATCTTTATGGGGGCATTTTTTTCATGCCATACTCTTATTAATTAACTTACTTTTTCTCTTTTCATCTAATGTATCAATAAAGTACTTTCCCTCCCACGAATATGAATAAATCAAAAATGTAAACTAGGACACTGTAGCTTTTGTAAACTCGAACACACACTAAAAAAAACATGTTACAAGGTTCCTTATAGCAAATCTGCAAAAGTTTCAGGCATAAAAGATTTACTGCAACAACAACAATTATTTTCCAATCAGTTTTTTTCCATACTAAAACGTTGAAGGTCATAGCTTGCACATGAGCTGAACAAATCATAAAAATCCCCTTTCTAATACGAAATAAAGGTAACAAATTTGGTTTTATACTGGTTCCAAAAAATATAGTTATATTTTTGTTTTAATGGCTCTACAGGAAGGGGAAATTGTATTGTTCACAAACATGTTTTGATTATACGCGAAATTATATTTTTCCCTGCCAGATGTAGATATGTTCCTCTGCCACGAGGAAAACATCAATAATGACGATAAATGTTCTGCACTTCATGGCCAACGTTTAGGAATACGGCGTGGTTCGATAATGCCTAGTAGGAGAAGAGGAACGGATGACATTTCCTGAATTGAACACTTTTTGAATTGTCCTAAAATATCAGTTAATAATAAGGTTAGAAACCATTCCGTCGCAAGTATGCAATGCCTTGCATTTGCAATGTTTTTGATTATGTAAGGTGACTTACTTTCGCAATGGGGAAATCCTGTAGTTTTTGTTTTTTAATGTCAGGCGTCAGTTGAAAAAAAATGATAACCTATTGTTATTAGTACGATTTATTTTGGATGTGCTTGAATGGATGAAACTTCTGTTCTATATAAAATGAACATTGTGAGTAGTGCTTTATGATCTAGATTCTTTAATAATGGATGTTGTTGAAACAGATCTCATAATCTATACTTTTCCATGGGCAATTGATTCAGTATGCTTTCGATATATGTATTTTTAAAATAATTAACTGCGCTAGAGACTTAAATTCGAATGCAAAAATTGTCCAATTAGATAATCTGGTATTAATGAATAAATTACCACACCCATATGTTGTTTTTATGAATTTTCTAAATCGCATATCTAATAAGGAGCGGAATGTCGATCAGGTTCGGTGCTTTCTCTCGTCTTTTGAGATCTTTAATGCACAATTTTAAATGTCTCTCTCCCATTTGAAAACCGAAATAAAAACTAAAAACCTCCTCACCAAATGATTTTATAATATTAACTACTGTTCCAGTTCGCTGGGTATTTTTTTTTTACAAATTAATTCGCCTTGGCTATATAAAAGTATAAAAGAAAAAAAAAGATTTCAAATTAACGGCGTTGGTATAAAAATCGTTTAATACCTTGACATATAAAAACATTTTGAAAGAGATTGTATGTTTAATTTAAATTAATATTGAGCGAGCTTTTTTATTTATAATTTTTTAACTACTGAAATAACAATATAACACAATAATTAGTCACCTATAAAAAAATTGTAAAATTTTTACATTTCTTGTAATTTAAGTACTAGACTTTGGTCGTGCTGAATGATCTGTGAATCGAATATTGAAAATAAGGCCAGTTATAAATTTTAACCAGACTTACAAACAGGCAAAATTAGAATACTTTGGAAATTTTAGAACACCAAAACGTGTTCTGTATCTGAAGTAAAAGCAGAATTAAAATCACAGAATAAAGATTTAGTCTACAGAAGCTAGGTTTTTCTCAGTTAGTGAACGTGTTTTGATGATATCCAATAACTATAGTCATTAAATTCAGCAGTTGAAATAATGACCGCTAAGATTTTTCAACAACTAGGAGTTTTTTCTGCTTTTATTAGTGACCCATTTGACATTTATTGATTTTCATTTGAGGTCATTTCTACATAATCATAGAATTTATAATCCATTATATTTCGTGGTCTATTGACCAAATTACTCCTTTCAATTAATTATTTCAATTAATAATGCCAATTGAAAAAAAGGCAAAAAGGAGGGAAAATTTGAAGGGTTGTAGGTTGAGATAGGGAGTTGGTGTCCGAGTGGATCGAAGTCTCGATAGCTCAAGTGGTAGAGCAGCGGCGTATTTAGCCGAAGGGCGTGGGTTCGAATCCCGCTCGTGGCACTAACTTTTTCATTTCAACCAAACCTTACATAAAAAGATTAAAGAATTTATAATGTTCGGATTTACTATAGTTTATTAAAGCTACCAGTCATTGCGGAAAAATTTATATTTACAACACCATTTCGATTGACATGCAAAATTCAAAGATGTACAAGACAGATACGAATGTAGTTTAAGACAGTTCATTGTTTTCAGTATATGTACTTTTATTACATAGGTTCGGCAGTGTAAGAGTATATCTAAGCTGCTTCTTCTATGAGTCTACAATAAGAGAGTTGATCTAATGAACCTTACAATAAAAGCTTCGATCAAAGCTTTATTACAACAAAAGAATGAGTCTATTCTTCCCTCCGTAAGAGGGTTTAAGTTTTTTACCAAACCTTGGATTGTACCTCCGACGATAAGAGTCTGATCTAATGCACTGATACAAAACTCCGTCAAGGAAGAGATTAGATCTGAACTTTCTACGGTAGGAG